GTCGGGCTGTCGATTAGTCTCCTGGCACGCCTTTCCACCGAATCCAAAGCAGCCAAATATTTCTTGGCAGAGCCGTCCCAGAGGTGGCAGCAGTATTCCATGCAAGGTCGGATCTGTGCTTTATATAACTGCAGCCTTTGCTTATTGGAGAAGTACTGCCTTGCCCTCGAGAGGATACCAAGTTTTTTGGCAGCAGTTTTCGCTATGGATTCGATGTACTCGCCAAAGTTCAACTTGCTGGACATTTCGATACCCAAAAGTTGGAGTCGCTCGGTGATTTTAACAGGCACACCTCGGAATGTTGGAGCCAGACGAAATGGACTTCGTTTGGCGTTTGACTAATGCCTTTTTAGCACATGATACTTATAGCCATTTTTAATTTCAATTTCATTAATAAGGCCTTCAAGCCACGAATGATCAGCCATCTAATGGACAAGCTCGAGCCACATCTTCGTTGTCTTACAAAGTTTTTAACAACAACAAGAACAACAAAAATTTCCAGTTTCTTTTATTAAGATAAATTATATTTCTTACCTATGGTTTGTGCCGTAGATTATGGTCATGGGAGTCATTATACTTATAAACTTTGATTATTATTAATAAGTCCCTAATATCTACTATTTTATTCGTTTACAAGCAATATACGCGGGTGCTTCGGTTTTTACAGCGACAGAACATAATCTAAACTTCTCCTGATCTAGAATCATAACAAGCATAATAAAAGAGATGGTCGTCAAGTCAGCATATCATGTACAATAAAAAGAACGGCACCTCGAGACTATTGGCGCGATGCACGTACTCGTAAGAGATGTTGCGTGACGACACTCGCACAAACCGAATGGAGGATAACCCGGAAATCTGCCTAATCACAAGTTAAGAGATGAAGCGAGTTTTTATGCAGACTCACTTTTTATGCAGACTTTGACCTCAATCGCAACTGATGTTAAGTGAGATGCAGTTTAGGATGCCCTGCCTGATAGACTTCCCTGTAAGTGCATATTCACTCTCCCTGAAAAGACCCGGATTATAATGTTCGGGAAAGGCAGCAGCAGGCAGCGAATTCCAGTTCCTGTTTAATTGTTTATTCAATAGTTGAACTACTTTTGGAGGTAAGCAATTATGTATTGGTCAGTATGGAAATCCTTAAGGGAGACCAATGTTCAGCAGTGGACGTCCAGTGGTTGAAATGATGATGATGATCATGAAGTAATTCAGCTAAATTGCTAATTTTTTAGCCAAATATCCAGAGTTGGTAAAATCACGCGACTCTTACTTTTTTTTCTATTTGATGTATTTTGGCTAATATCTGACTTTTGAAAATATAGGTCATTAGGTTCAGCTGTAGGTCATAAGATTTATATTAATAGAGATAATACAGTGAAGCCTTCATTCAATTCATTTTCTCATACCCAAGAAAATTGATGCACCGTTTATCACTCAAGCCACCAGCAATTCGTCGTTATACGTGCCCAATAAAGCACCTTATGATCATCAAGATTGAGCACATATTCCTTCATTAGACATTACTGCAGTATGCGCTCGCGCACCGTGGGAATACTTTCACTGCGCAAGTCGGGAGCTTCTCTATGATAGAGCAAGAACCAAGTAGGTTTACATACGAACTTGTTTCCGAAATTTATAACTTTATCATTACCATCATCATCATCATTTAAGCATTCAATGGCGCTCTCTAATTATAACTGGTGCGTAGAACTGACGGCCGATGGGTCAGTAAGGATCTGTAGTGGAGACCACGTACCGGAAAGCGCAGCGTAGGACGTCCAGTCGTCCATCCACAAGGTACCGACGACCTCATAAAGGTATCAGGAAGGCGCTGGATATAGGCCGCTCGCTACCAACCGATCATCATTTGGGGAGGCCTCATAATTATGTTCAGCAGTATACGTTCTATGGCTGAAATAATGATGATGTTGAGGACTCTAGCAATGTCTTGAATGCCCTATTTAAACTAGTTTTGGCCTACTACATCTAATTCTCTCGTGGGCATATTGAAGACGTGCGATGCGCGATTGTTCGTGGTGACACTATTTAGGTTATGCCTGATTATTTCAAATTGCCCTGGCCCGCGAGATTATCATAAGTATGTGGGGGCAATTGCCCAGTAATTTAGTTTGCGGCCCCATTCTTATTGACATTGTTTAGTGCCTTCCCAGTACTTGAAGAGTATATAAGCAGTGGCGATCTACAAATACAGCCTTTGTTGTGTAGAATACTTTGTGTCTTATGTATTTTAAAACTACAAAAAACACTATGTGCAGCTATACTTTGTACGTGTCCTACACTACTAGAATTACGAGCGAGCCTCAATAATATCAAAATAAGGCCAATGGCTTGAGCTGGCGCTAAGCAACATCTGTCAAATTGTGTGGAAACGTCAGGTAGCATCTTACGTCACGCTGCAGTCAGCTAGTTCTGTGCCAGCCGAAGACATGAGGTAGAAATTTGCGATAAGCTGTGCTGCACTGAGTTGCAGTTATCAACTATTAAATGAGGCGAAGGTTGAAACAGGTTCACCTAGCCAAGCAGTCCTACTAAATAAAACATTCTCAAATAACTGTGATTTCGGTGAACCTGTCATCAAATTCATAATTTCTTTTTCCTTCACTTTATAGATGACTAATGTCTTCGGTCCGATGCTTTAAGAATGCAACTAATTATCGCGTTACTAATCAGATACAGCTGTTTTCTCGCATAATCATGTCGCATGCAAAACTAGATCTCACAACTTGAATCCAAGAACAGTTGTTATTAAAAAACTGTAGCAAATTAACACAAACTTGGTAACAGAATTCCCATTTTTAGGGTTCCGTAGCCAAATGGCAAAAAACGGAACCCTTATAGATTCGTCATGTCTGTCTGTCTGTCCGTCCGTCCGTCTGTCCGTCCGTATGTCACAGCCATTTTTTTTTCCGAAAAAATAAGAGCTATACTGTTGAAACTTGGTAAGTAGATGTATTCTGTGAACCGCATTAAGATTTTGATGCAAAAATAAAAAATAAAAATAAATGTTGGGGGCTCCCCATACTCAGAACTGAAACTCAAAATTTTTTTTTTCGTCAAACACATACGTGTGGGGATATCTATGGATAGGTCTTCAAAAATGATATCGAGGTTTCTAAAATATTTTTTTTCTAAACCGAATAGTTTGCGTGACAGACGCTTCCAAAGTGGAAAAAAGTTGGTCCCCCAGTCTAACTTCGATGATATGCTAAAACTGAGACAAAATAAACATCGCGAAGCATTAGCGTGATGAAATACAGTCATCATTCATTCATCATTACTCGACTGCGCCAGAAGCAGTTAAACATATTTTACTTTCGCTAGACATCTAATGTAATTTTCTTTAATTTCTCTAAATACAATACAATACTGAGTTTGTTCCGGCGTTTCTTCTGAGCACTTGCCATTTATGTTTGTCTCAAAGCGCTGGTAGGGTCCAAAAGATAAGGAGACATGTAAGTGCCCCAAGGGCTACCTTTTTTATTTACTATATTTTGACGTTCATAATTGCCACTTGTGGTCTAAATTGAATAAAATATGTTTGATCTTAATTTGATTTTGACAAGTAGAAAAGATCGCGCACTAAACAAACAAAGCCGAGTGTACGCCGAATCATAGACCGGTCGGGACAGGTCGTCGACCGATGCGCCTGCGCGCAAATGTCATGCGTGCTGTCAAACGTTTACTGTTACTTTATTTAACGGTGACATCTAATTTTGGGATGGAGTGCTTCGGGCGTTTTGGAGAAAAGGCTAGTTTGCGTTTGTTTTATTGTGGAAAACAGGCGCTCTTTAAAGTATGAATAACCTTGTTCTACGTAATAAAAAAGTTAGATTGTAATAAGTAAATTAACTATTTAATAACTACCTACTTTGATTATGTGAATAGATATTCCTTTAGTGTCTGGGTTTTAGTATAAGTACCTCCTCGGCTCTATATTCAAACAACGTAAGGCAGAACAAACAAATGGTACCACCTACCTAGTTACTTTCACAGTTAAAACATTAGTATTAGTAGAGTATTTCTCAAAAAAAATGTACGTAACGAAACGGTAGTAACGAAATAGTAAGGCCATAAGGCTTGTTATACATTGGCGAAATATTGTGAATGCTCTTCATTTATTCAATTCGAAATATTTGTAAGTATGCACCCAAATACGGGGTAATATTAAGGGGTTAGAAATAAAATAAGGGAGTAATCATTCATACTATTTTAATAAAATTATTTTTGTTCTATCATGTTTATCCATTTTGAGTCGTTCTCTGTAGGCTTTTTGCCTTTCGGCATTGGTTTTTGGCGGCATTCCTAAAAAAACAAAAGAAGTAATCACATAAAAACGTAATCTAAATGATTTGATAATTTTTTGCTGGTGGCACTTCTGTAAAGCAGATAGTATCCAATCCTTTTGTTATTAACGCTCTATATTTTTTGAAATAAATTAAGTAGTGAATATTACTATGCTTAGTCAGGTAATAACNGTCGGATTTGGTAAATGTTCCCGGTGTCTGTACTCGGCCTGAACCACCGATTAAAAAATGGTTCGGGGTAAGAGCTTCATCGTCTTCAGGTGACGTAGAAACATGAGTTAGCGGACGGCTGTTAACTATGTACTCGGCTTCACATAGTAATGTTCGCAACACANGGCCGCGGTTTCTTTATGTTTTTTTTAGGGTTCTGTGGGAAGAATTCGTAGTCGTCGTGAACATACTCCCGCCGTGCAGCGGCGCACTCGTGTCGTCGCTGCATCCAAATCGCTAACACGACGACTGACTACTGTTCTGTCACCCCCTTTTCGGTAGGTAGGATGACGAGCCTTTTCGTAGGTCTGCGCATGACACCTCCTTGTGTCATGATGTCTGCGGTGCGGACGATTCCGTCTCGTCCCGGATACGTCGCGATGACTTTCCCTCGGGGCCAGGTATTGCGAGGTAAGTTGCGGTCGACGACTAAGTCGTTCTACTTTCAAGGGAGCTCCCCGGCTATGGGGCTCCCGCCGGTGTTGGAGTTTCAATGGCTCCCGCCGGTTTCCATTTAGTGGCGACTCCCGCCGGTCTTGCGATCTTTGACTTGCGCCTGGCGGTTTATTAATGGCAATTTCTTCGTTACACGTAGGCGGAACTGTTGCATGTCTTTTTCTGGCAGGAGACGGCCGCTGCGGATATTTCTGCTTATTCTTCTTTGATTTCTCTAGCGGCCAACTTTCTGGGGGTCCTCGGAGAAATGGCGGTCCGGTGGACCATCTGTGCGAAGCGTTGAACTGTTTCGGAGTATTGCGTGTAGCGTCGTCTGCTACATTCTGTGACGTAGGAACCCGTCGCCTTTGACTGAAATTAGTCGATTCTTCTTCTATGAGTTTCTCGTCGGCTCTGTAGACGTAATGCACGTTTCTTCCTAAGTTTCTAGTTGAGGACCCGTGCAATACCCATCCCAATGGGGTCAGTGAGGCTGCCGGCTGATGTGTAGGTCCTCTTCGGAGTCGTCGGGTGACAAGAAGATGCCAATTATCTTGGCCTATTAATACGGTGGGCTTTCTTTCTTCATACTGAAGGAAGTTCTGTATTCCTCGGAGATGATGGCATCCTTTGAGGTCCAATCCAGACACCGCTTGTGGTGCCAGGTGAAGCCCTTTTACTGTTCTGGCTTTTATCGGATAGCCCTTAGTTTGGCCCTGTAGCGTGACGCTCACTTTGCGTGATCCGCTGACATTTATCTTTGATCCAGCGACGCCTTCCAGCTGAAGTGGATCGGAGACTCCGGAGGCCCCGACGCGGTTGGCAACGTCGGCATCAATAAGGGTAATTGTAGAACCGTCGTCGAGGAGCGCTGCAGTGTCGTAGAATCCTTTAGGGCCAGAGACACGAACTGGGATGATTTTCAAGTATGCGTGGCCCTGTCTTGTGCGTGAGTTGGTAGAGGCAACGGTTTCGGTTTTCTTCTCGATTTTCGGTGCTTTGTCGTAATGTAGGAGCGGATGGTGTGTCTTCTGGCAGCCCCGTACCATGCACGACTTCGTTTTGCAGCTGTGATCTGCAGCTTTGTAGCGTAGACAGCGGAAGCAAAGTTTGAAGTCCTTTGCATACTTCCAGCGGCTGTTGTTGTCGGCTTCCTTCAATTTCGTGCAGTCGGTGACGAAATGCTCGTTCTTGCATATCGGGCATTTCGGTTTCTTCTGAATTTAGTACGATGATCTAGTCTGCTGTTCGTCGGAAGATGCTGGCCGTTACGGAGTGCTTCAATCTCTTCGTGAAACATCTCTTCTTGCACAGCTTGCACCCAGAGCGACTCGGCTTGCTGCAGAAACGGTACTTCAATTATAACGCCTAGTCGACTCTGCTCGGATACGTCGGCGTGTAACTTTGCGTGTAATTTTCTGGCAGGAGACGGCCAATGCGGATCTTTTTCTTTATTTTTCTTCGTTCGTTTATAATTGACGGAGACTTTTCTTGCGCGCAGCTTCTGGATGAATAATAATACTAATGCGGTAGTCCTTATTAGTCGTAGCCACGATGAGAAGCGGTTGACGTCGGGTAACGACTCGCAAAGTCGAACTTTGTTAGTCTTCACTAAGTTGACTCGCTCTTCTGTTTTGTTTTCGGTTGTATTCGTAGATTTTTCTTGCGGCCAACTTTCAGGGGGTCCTCGTAGAAATGGCGGTCCGGTGAACCATCTGTGCGAAGCGTTAAACTGTTTCGGTGAATCGCGTGTAGCGTCGTCTGCTACATTCTGTGACGTAGGAACCCATCGCCATTGACTGACATTAGTCGTTTCTTCGATTTCGGCTATTCTGTGGGCGACGTACGGCTTGAACGATCGGGGGCCAGCACGTAGCCATGAGAGTACGGTCTTCGAGTCTGACCAGAAGTACTGTCGGTCGGGTTTAATATCGTACTCTTTGATAGTCGTACTTGCTAGTCGACTTCCGATGACGGCTGCCTGGAGTTCAAGACGAGGTATCGATGTGACTTTTAGCGGTGCGACCCTCGCTTTGGCGGTAATTAGCGACACGTGGATGTTTCCGCTGCTGTCGATGACTCGCCAATATACCGCTGCCGCGTATGCCTTTTCACTGGCATCGACGAATGTATGAATTTCGCGCTCGGTTGCGCTACTTAAGTACGGATGACATCGTGGGATCTGGATCGATTTCAACTGTTTCAGGTCTTCAATCCAGGTCTTCCAGGTGCTGGCTAGCGTTGCGGTTAATTCTTGGTCCCAGTCAATCCCAGTGCGCCACGTTTCCTGTAGGATGTGTTTCCCTTGAATGACGATAGGTGACGCTATTCCGAGTGGGTCGAAAATCGCCATGACTGTTCGTAGTGCTTCTCTTTTCGTCGGTGTGCGATTGCCATTGACGATGTCGGATGGGACCCGGGCGAAATTTAAGTTGAAGGCTAGGCAGTCCGATGATGGTCGCCATATTAGGCCTAAAATCTTCTCTTCTTTTGCGCCGTCGTCGAACTTGATTTCTTCTATCTTGGCGGAATCTTCCAAGTTCTGTATTGCTTTGCTGTTGTTCGAAGTCCACTTGCGCAGATTAAAATTTGCCTTTTTATGTATGCGGTCAACTTCGTTGGCGATCTTCTGTGCTTCTTCTACGGTTTGAAAACTTTGTAAATAATCATCCATATAATGGTTATTAATAATTGCGGATGCGGCTTCTGGGTATTCTTCACGATGTCTTTCTGCATTCAAATTCTTCACGTATAAAGCTATGCATGGCGAGCAGGTGGCCCCGAAGACAACTGTTGTCATGCGATATTCGGTAGGTGGGCCCTCCCGCCGGTCTTGACGCCACAGGAAGCGTAAGGCGTCTCGATCTTCTTTGCGGATGCTTATGCGGAGAAACATTTCTTCGATATCGGCGGCGACTGCGATTTTGTGCTGTCTAAATCGCATCAATACACCCTGCAGTGACTGTAGTAGATCTGGCCCCGGCAATAAATTATCGTTCAGTGAGGTATTCCCGAAGCGGAATGCGGCGTCCAGGACCACTCGTACTTTTCCCGGTTTGTTAGGGTGTAGAACGGCGAAGTGTGGCAAGTACCAAGTCTTGCCCGGTGTCGGAGGTTCTTTTGCTTCTTCGGCGTATCCTTTCTTGATCAAATTATTTATTTGATCTTCGTAGCTGGTTTTCAACGATGTGTCGCGGTCTAGCTTCTTCTCGATGCTGTAGAGTCGGTTAAGCGCGCCTTTATAATTATTTGGAAGAACCACATCTTCTTTCTTCCAAATTAGCGAAGTTTCGTAGACATCTTCCTTCTTCTTCACTGTATTTGCTTCCAGGACCTGCAGTGCGCGAACTTCTGGATCACTCTTCGGTAGCTTGGGTTGGATGCCAAGCGAGTCGATGGTAAAGTATCTTCGGATTTCTTCGTCTATTAGCTTCTCTTCGGCTCTGTAGACGTAGTGCACGTTTCTTCCTAAACTTCTTGTTGAGGACCCGTGCAATACCCATCCCAATGGGGTCAGTGAGGCTACCGGCTGATGTGTCGGTCCTCTTCGGAGTTGCCGGGCGACGAGAAGATGCCAATTATCTTGGCCTATTAATACGGTGGGTTTTCTTTCTTTATACTGAAGGAAGTTCTGTATTCCTCGGAGATGATGGCATCCTTTGAGGTCCAATTCAGACACCGCTTGTGGTGCCAGGTGAAGCCCTTTGACTGTTCTGGCTTTTATCGGATAGCCCTTAGTTTGGCCCTGTAGCGTGACGCTCACTTTGCGTGATCCGCTGACATTTATCTTTGATCCAGCGACGCCTTCCAGCTGAAGTGGATCGGAGACTCCGGAGGCCCCGANTTGAGCCTCAAGCCAAGTCTCAACGCGAGACTCGTGCATTTCTGAGGCGACGGAGTCGTTGTCTTCCTCCTCCGATTCTTCGGCCTGGATGGCGGAGAGACGGGCGCGGGCTAATTTTAATTCCAGGCGAGCTACCTCTTCTTGAGCCTTGGCCAATCGACGGGCGCGGTCGGATTTTACGGAGGATGCCCGCGATGACCTCGGTGCTTTTCTATTTTCTGGAGGTTCAAACTGGATCAGTTCCTCCCGGTTGGTTTCGGAGACGGACGTAGGTAAGGCTTGTTCAGCGGCGACTGGCGGCGCTGCGTCGGCCTTGCCCTTCTGTGATCTTGTGACCGGCATACTGTAGTCACAAACGTAGATTTTCCTTCTTCAAGGGCGATTCGGTGTCTTGAAACGGTCTTCAAGTAAGTTGTCAACGATCCGGCTCGAAGGACCAGAAAAATGTGCAGGACTGTTTATTTATCCGGTCACAAAAATATACGGAACGGTTACGAAGACCGGGTAATCGTAGCGGAGTAGGTACACGGAGTGGGCTGTTGACGGACGCAGTGAAAACGATGATGCGGTGGACTGTAGATTGTGGACTGTATACGGTGGCACTCCGGTAGACGGTGTCTCCAGTCGTTGCACACTGAAGTTCGGTGGGTGGATCGTTGACTCGTCTTTGTCGAAGGACGGCGTCGATACGGTGCGCGGTGAAACGTATCCGAAGTCACGAAGCAATAACGGTGTCCGGTTCTGATGCTGAAGTCGTCACTATGATCACTATTCTTCTATCGCGGTGAGAAGACTTCCTGTAGCTCTTCGGTCGGAGGAGGTTCACTCTTGATCTGTTCGGAGAACTGTCTTGAGTAAAACTGATGACGGATCGGCACGGCGGCCGGTTTATATACCGCTCCAGCTTGCCTACTAACTAGAAAATCGACGGTTCGCCCGCTTTCTGGAATACGCGAGTACTTGCTCTAACGCGCGGGACTCGTAAACAAAGTTTTAAGGCATCCGGATATGAGCCTTATTTCTTACGCGCTACGGTCGGTTATCGCGGGCGCGCGTGCTAATGCTGTCCTTTGCGCGCTCGCACTGTCTCTTTCTTTTCAAGTACTTGCCGCGCGCCGATGATTTATGACTTATCTATACCTATAGGCGCGTATATGTATTTGCCGCGGTTTCTTTTATATTTTTTAGGGTTCTGTAGGAAGATTTCGTAGTCGTCGTGAACACTAGCCTTGGTAACGTCATCTCTCAAATCCCACTATATTTTGATGAAAGCGTTCCCCTTGTTCTTGCGAATAAGCCCCCATAATTATCTATAAATATATCCCAATGAGAATGTGACGTGCATCTTTAGAGACATTCTACTATGAAGATGGAAAATTCAAATCACTATAACTTCTTAAAAAGCAAATATTTTCGATTTGTAATCGCACTTTTTTATATAAATTTGCTTATACATATAATCAGAATATAATAAGTAAAACCCATGCGCAAAAAAAATTTTTTTTTTGTTGACCGGTGTAATTACTATGCAGGTGATGATCACGTACCGCGTAAGGCAGACGGCCTCGCTGATGCGCTGTATGCGGCGCTGTCGGCGCTCGCTGCCCACCTCGAGCGAGCGCGCCGGCGCCAAGTGTAAGCCCTCGTCGCTCAAGTGCAAGTGCTCCCGGTTGCGGTGCCGGGACAGGGACGGCAGGATTCTGGGAAACACGAAGTTTACCATTTAGCTTTTGTGACACAATCTTTTAGAATGTGATAAACAAATTGGTAATTTGTGTCCGTTTTCAATATGGAGGGCGCACAACTTTTTTTGCCATGAAAAGCATCGTGGAAGCCATTTTATACTGCAGCTGCTCGCTGGAGGAGGACAGCGCGTGGTGCAGCGCGTCGGGCTCGCGGGCACAGCGGGCCTGCTGGTGTGTACCTGGTGCGCTGCAGCTGCTCGCTGGAGGAGGACAGCGCGTGGTGCAGCGCGTCGGGCTCGCGGGCCCTCAGCACGGCGCCCACGGAGCCGGCCGAGCCGAAGCCGGCCGCGCGCCAGCCCGAAGTACCCGCGCCCACCAGCGGACCTGGAAAAAGACACACTTTACTGTATCGTACTGAGCCATCACCGCTTCAAAAACAATTTTCTCAATGAGGGCTATCGTTTTTATACTTAACAGTTGGCACCCCTGGCGATTGACAGGACCATACTCTACAGTGGCGCCAACTGGTGAGCGCTAAAACGATAGCCCTCATTGCTTACCATCAGGTGATCCGTCTGCTCGTTTGCCTCCTATCACATAAAAAAAAAATACCTAGGTCTTGCGGCGCCGTGGCGGGCGCGCGTTCTGCGCCGGGCAGCAGCAGCGCGGCGGCGTCGTGGATGGACTGCTCCTCGTGCTGCGTGACTGACACCTGCGTCAGTGGAGCTAGTACATACCTAGGTCTTGCGGCGCCGTGGCGGGCGCGCGGTCTGCGCCGGGCAGCAGCAGCGCGGCGGCGTCGTGGATGGACTGCTCGGACTCGCTTCGCACGCCGATTCCTGGTAGCACGGAATACCTGCAACGTGGAAGGGAGCAAATTAGACGATTTTGATTTCACATGATCCTATTTAATATCGTCACCCTGTATTACTGTGTTCTTGGCAAATAAACGTTTTGAATTTGAATTTGAAAAAAAATTTGGTTTGAGATCGCTCTGATGCGCACACCTGTTTATGAGTTTATGATTCAATCAGCAGCACCGGTATCTGTACCGCGAGGAAATATTATTGTAAATAGCTTCAATGGGGCGCTAAAATTTGCGCGAGCGCCTGCTTCGGACGTCAAGACACGGACCTGCGATCCGCGGAAATACAGACGCCTGAACGACGCGAGGAAGGAATTTAATCGACTTTTATTTTCGGTGCTATCAAGGACTTAAAAGGACATCTTTCTCCAAGAAATACAATTTCAGATTAAGCAAGCACTAAAGCGAAATTATGTTGAGAGTATAGTAAAAGCCTCGCCTATTTCGAAGCACTATCACACATACTAAAGCCCGGTCTGTGAGCACGTAGAATTTTGTCCAATGACCCCAAGCTACCCATCCTTATCGCTCGCGCGTAATTATGTTGCTGTCGCGCTCGCACACTCACTGCGGGCGCCCGTCGCACAGTCGCGACAGCAATATAATTACGCGCGAGCGATAAGGATGCGTAGCTTGGGGTCATTGGACAAAATTCTACGTGCTCGCAGACCAGACTGTAGTTACTTCTTTAAACCCTCTGAAAGACAAAATATATTGATTTTCATTTGTTTTTGCCTTATCATCATAATAAGAAGGTTCAAATTGTGGTGTCTGAGTTCAGTCAAGGTTGACCTGCAGCAGTCCTAGAGTCTCCTCGCTGCGGGTCTTCTGGACTCCGGCTTGTCTGCGAGGGTTGACCTGCAGCAGTCCTACAGACTCACCGGTCGTTGAGCGCGCAGTGGTAGTGCAGGCGGTAGCGGCAGGCGTCGTCCTCGAAGGCGCTAGAGTCTCCTCGCTGCGGGTCTTCTGGACTCCGGCTTGTCTGCGAGGGTTGACCTGCAGCAGTCCTACTAACTAAGCTACTGACCGGTCGTTGAGCGCGCAGTGGTAGTGCAGGCGGTAGCGGCAGGCGTCGTCCTCGAAGGCGCTAGAGTCTCCTCGCTGCGGGTCTTCTGGACTCCGGCTTGTCTGCGAGGGTTGACCTGCAGCAGTCCTACTAACTAAGCTACTCACCGGTCGTTGAGTGCGCAGTGGTAGTGCAGGCGGTAGCGGCAGGCGTCGTCCTCGAAGGCGCGCGGCCGCTCGCAGCGCGCACCCGCTAAAGTCTCCTCGCTGCGAGTCTTCTGGATCTCAGGCTTGTCTGCGAAGGATTAACACACGCTTGTTAGTTGTTTTATATGACAGAACAACTATTTCTTTAACAAAAAATTAAATAGCATTTAAAGTGGACTCTGAAATGGCACCTGCGCCAGAAGGAGTCACTCTCTAAGTGTACACACGCCCACACTTTTAACTATCCATTTCCGTTTTTACTCTCGCTCTAATCAAATGGCGATTCTTTGCGATAGAACGAGATGACATGACTTTCAATGGGCAGTTAACACTGTTGGCGATAGTACATGCACATAACGATAGTGTAATGTCTATCAAAACTTTTGAAAAAACGAACAGTAACCACACATGTAAGACTAGGCGCAGACTACAGATTTTTAGTTGGCCGATAGTTGGGCCCGATTTTAACTTGTATGAAGAATCGGCCAAATCAAATCGGTGTAATGAGCGCACTTCCATACATGCCCATACTGATTAACTGCCTGACTAAAATGTCGGCCGACGAAAAATCGATGGTTTGCACCTAGGCTTAAGGTCACTCGCCTTCGTGAATTACAACAACTATAACATAAACTAACTTTACTTTCAAGTTGCGTTGTGTGAACTAATTAAACTCTAACTTTATTACTGTATTTTAACTATTGCATGCCCGATATGGGTAACACTGTTGTAACTTTTTTTTTTTTTGCATTGTGACCAGCACAAATTGTACACAGTTTTGGGCAATAAAGATTATTCTATTCTATTCTAACTTGTGTGTTTGATTGTGCTTGTGAGTGTGTGCATGTGTGTATGTGTGTTTGTGCGTGTGTGTGTTTGTTGTGTGTGTGTGTGTGTGTGTGAGTGTGTGTGTGTGTGTGTGTGTGTGTGTGTGTGTGTGTGTGTGTGTGTGTGTGTGTATACGTATGTGTGTGTGTGTGTGCGTGTATGTGAGTGCGTGTGTGTGCAGGGCGATGTGGAAATCATTGGGGGGAGTCAATATAAAGCAGTAGACGCCCTGTGGCTGAAGCCTGAAATGATGATGATGATTTATGGAGCTTCAACTCACCGGCGCGGTCGCTGCGGCGGCGCTGCACGGACAGGTCCTCCATGCGGCGGCGCAGGTCCATCATCTTGCCCATGGTGACCGCGTTCTCGTGCAGCGAGCCCGACAGCCCGTCGTCCGGCTCGTGCTCGAGGAGATGTGTCAGCGATGACGAGTCTGTGGGGGAGATAGTGTTACTTTGACTGCTTTTCCAATTTTTCCAGCGACTTCAGTGAGTTGAGATTGCACTCTGTGAGTGTTTTATAACACAACAAACTGTATGTCGCAAATTCATGGTGAACGGGTACTCCCATCTTTCATCATCATCACCATCATCATTTCAGCCATAGGACGTCCACAGCTGAACATAGGCCTCCCCCGATGCTTTATGTTGATCGATTGGTAGCGGCCTGCGTCCAGCGCTTCCCTGCTACCTTTACGATGTCGTCGGTCCACCTTGTAGGTCATCATCTTTGAATGAACATTATTCTGTGGCTCGAGTTTCGACTGGCACGATAGCCACATAAAAAGCCTAACAAAATCCGGCCAGGCCGGACAACACAATTTTTGGCCAGACAAGTCCCTAAAAAGGGAAACATGTCCGGCTAAAGCCGTCGCGATCCTAATCAGTGAGGGACTGAGGAAAAAGAAGAAGCGGCATCTCTTGACACGAATCCTTTATGACACAACTGAATAGAGCCACTGCTGAATAGACCCTGTGCAGTTGTAACAAACGCTATGTTGCAGTGTAAAGTCGAATTTTTTAGAATTCAGCAGAAACTTAAACAAATATGGCCAACTGACATTAAAACATTTTTAATCTGTGCACTAGTGAGGCGACAAAACCTCTCGTTAATCGCGAATTGAAATTATTGTAATACTTACGTACCTGTAGAAATCATTTATAATGCTTTAAAAATCAGTATATTAAATATTTAGTAGTACATTCAATGAAGAAAAAATACATTGTTGATTAAGACCCTTTTTAAATCTATTTAAGTACAATCAGTAATGAAAATGATTGAATAATTGAAATGAAATCGATTAAATTTACCGATTAATTGTCTATGACTTACAGGTTACATCACTGATGTGTCAGAGACAACATGGAGATAACACATAATTTTAAACGTCAAGTCAATTTGACAAGTCTCACAAATTTTCATCGTCCACGTATTTTGCTAAAATAATTTGTTTCAAACTTGTATAATCGTGAGAATAAAGTTGGTTTCATGGGCTTGTGAAATAATGTGTACCTATGATATTATGAACACGTAAGTGATTATGGTGTAATTGTGTATGCAAGTGTTTGTTTACATGTCTGCTGGATTCTAAAAATTCAAGGTATACTCACACTTGTTGTGGTCGAGCGGCGAGTAGGAGCCGTCGCGATTCTCGCGCACGCGCAGCATGTTGACGCGCTCGCCCTCGCGGAACACCAGCACCGTCACCTTGCAGCCGTTGCTGCCCCATTCCGTCTCCTCCCTGGAAACAACATTTTCGTTATGTACTTGTGATAGGGGCGATTTATTTTTACAAAAATGCCTATAACCTACAAAGACAAATGATCATCGGATAAGCAAGCTGAAATGGCAGGTCATATTTACGAGACTATACCGCTGCTTTTCCTGTGTATAGTCAAGTTAAACCTTTAGCCAAATAGAACGCGTAGAGCGCTAGCTTGGTAGAATGTAGAATCCAGTGTCACACCGTCCTAACGCTGCGATAAAGCGTTGCGTTGCGTATTGCTAGTGCCAGCATTGTGTATATATAAACATTCTAACAACACAAGTAGACGCTATAGCGCGACGTCAGGCTAACGCTCTAGCGCGGCCTAGGTACGCGTCCTGTTTGGAGAAGCCTTTATACAGCTAGACCGCCAGTAAAAATGCCTTGTCCCGGGGCAGAATGAACTGACATTGGACCCACAATTAAATTAATAAGAAAAATATAGGAGTTCGAAGTTAAGGACCGACTTCCTTCCAGTGCCACTCTGTGTTAAATGATTCCAATGCCGCTCTGTGGTAAATGATTCCAGTGCCGCTCTGGGGTAAATGATTCCAGTGCCGCTCTGGTGTAAATTATTTTGTAGTTGCCCACCACTTAAAACGCAGTATTGGACGCTCAGACGTTATATTAGAACGACTTTCGATAATAAATAACCTATCTTCTGCTAATGTTAACTAATTTGCTGTAGTACATACAATCTCGTGCGCATACAAGCATACATAAACATTCTAATATTGTGCTAAGTAGATATAATCTAAGCTAATTTCCTTTGTATTTCTAAAACTTTCTCTTTGTGCTCATAATAAATACTCTTCAAACCTTGAAGTAAACGCGAAAAGGAAGAGTGGTTCCTTTCAACAATTATTTTTTACAAGTTTGTTAGCAATTTGTTCATTGTAGTTTGGTTCATTAAAGAAATAAAGCAGTTTGATTTGATTTTGATTCCAATCAATCTACAACAAATCAAGTGGTGCTTAGAACAAAAGCAATCAAAAGAATAGCTTAGTACTCTACATTAAATAATGCAAATCTAATTGAACAAGATACATTAATGTTATAACATAACATATCTATCAATATTAAATTATAATCTTGCAAGATTCGAAGTCACATTATCCGATTACACAGGGTCACTAGACCGGCCGATTGAATCTGCGTTTACACACAAAAAATCTACGTCAGCAGACCACACAAATGGATGAGTAACCTGCGGTCGAGAGAACATGCAGAGTTGCAGCAAAAAGTGGCACCAAGCGGAAGCAGGAAGACGGCTCAAGGCCTACCAGCCCGCATCTGTGTGCGCCTTGAATAATTAGGCACACATTAACGTTTCTGAATGAAGATTATTATCTTTGAAAGTCATCTACTTACAGCTTATTTTTGGTGGTACATCTGATAAGATTTACACCTACGCGCTTCAAATGTGTGCTTTGAACGAAAGGACAGAATAAAAAAATATTTAGTACCTGCACACGGGTCAAAATAAAAACTATCGACGGTTACTTGAGTGGTTTGAGCTTCGAAGTAATGCCAGCGATTGTGAATTCAAATCCCATAGCGATTTTCTTCAATTTTGGTTACACAAACACGGAATCACACAAATAACAAACAATTTACACAAACGTTGTTCCTGCACGACAAAATACTGAAGTGTTGTAATTTTGTTGAACAGAGGACGATACATCGCGGCGTGGTCGAACGAACTAAAATAAAGAGGGTAGACTGATTCGTCTGTAAAAAATATTTACCCTCTTTTACGTAATATTAACGAAAACATGGTGTATGCAATATGACCGAAATGACAATATAAAACTATGAACCCTGATAAAAAAATACGTTCACTGTACCTACTTACAAGTTTATAAATTCGTTTTTGTAAACGTCTTATCTAAGCTGTAGTACGCACGTAGGCTAACATTTTGGACTTTTTGCTTTGTAATGCATGTGTGTGTAAAGGTAGGTAGACGATTTGCCACTGTATCGATGATCCATCAAGACTGAATGAATTGCATTTGTTCGTGAGTCGACTTTTTTTTAAGTCGGCAGTCAGTAGGGGCAGCTGCCCTCCCCTGCCGCCCCCCTGGGTACGCTTATTGGGGTATGGTGTCGGTTCTTACCTGGTGGTGTCCAGAAGGCGCTCGATGTCCCGCCAGGGCTCGGCGCCGGCGGGCGGCGGCAGGCGGCGCGTGGTGATGGGCCGCACATGCCCAGTACCAGTCGCAGGGTTGTCCAGCTCCTCAAGCTGTATAGCAGGTGCTGCTAGACAATAGCATACCTGGTGGTGTCCAGGAGGCGCTCGATGTCCCGCCAGGGCTCGGCGCCGGCGGGCGGCGGCAGGCGGCGCGTGGTGATGGGCCCGCCACACATGCCCAGCACCAGCCGCAGGCGCGCGCCGTCGCCCACGCCATGCTCGCGCAGCATCGACGCGTTGTCCAGCTCCTTGAGGTTGTACAGCAGGTGCTGCTGCGATACTGGGATACCTGGGGAGTGAGGTGCAAAGAGTTTAGTTTAGTGTAAAGACACTTTTCAGGGCACATAAACAGGTCTCAAATCTATAGGTTCGGTCAAAGCAACGCGTGCAGCTACCGCGATCAGATGTGGTGCATGAATTAGTAGCAATGAGTTCACATTCAATTTGGTCGCGGCTATCTAGGCACGTGCAGTGATCGCTTACCCTACCACCGATACCAACTAAGTTCATGGTAGGAGCCTCGGTTGACCATTCAAATTCAAATGCAGTCGTAGTAAAATCGTTCGCAGTAGTTAGATATTATAACGAAACATCACGCAGTAACAAAATGTCGATATAACAAGGCGTCGCAGTATAGAAATGTTGCAGAAACGTTTTCGAAACAATTTGATAATTATAACGTTTTTTGCACTCACGTAGGTAATTCGTTTAAAAATGGAGGTAGGGTAATAATAATAATGGCTCATGGGAGTGAAGATAATTTTTGATCTACTCTACTAGATTTTTTCTCGTGTAAATCGAGGTCGGGGGTAGTGAAGACGGATCCTGTGTGTCCTTATGAAGAACGATTGATTGACCATGTTGACGTCACGAGCGACATTCATGCTCTGCTCTCATCGTGAAGACATGAATGAAGATGGTCTCCATGGCACTTTTAATACATACACATTACACACGCGTAATAATATCAACATGTGCCAAAAGTATTGTGGAATGTAAATTATCTTGATTCAGTAAATTGCGCACGCCAAACACTTCCACGCTATGCTGTAGGCGCTGTAGCTCAAAAACTTTACTTGGCATGAACGAACAGTGAGCACTTGTTCGAGTCCGATCCCCCAGAACGGAAATTATACAACCTGTTAATCAGATGAAGAATAATTCCATCTACCCGTTTTCTTTTAACAAACATAAGCATAACCATTGATTTTTAGTTGGGCTCGTCGATTCTAATTTGTATGAAGAATCGGCCGATATCAAATCGGTGTAATGTGCGCACTTCCATACATGTCCAGATTAACAGCCCGACCCAACTATCGGCCAACTAAAAATCGGTGCTCTGCGCCTAGGCTAAATGGAATATTGTTACGGAAAGGTTACCTACCTCCAATAATAAAACGTTTATCAGGCATTAATGTCCATGAACATTGAAAGAAATCATTTCACGAGTTGTTAATGCGGAACCAGACAGAGGGCATTTTAATTCTGCATAATGGCGTAGGTTATATCAATAAGCTGCAGCTTTACATTATCCAATTAGACGATTCTTTAACCCTGTTCATGTTACAGACGTCTTCTGGAAGGTTTATGTAGGTATAATCTTTTTAGGCCTTCAATTTCTCTTACAGACTTCATTGAACTAGATTTATCTCATCATCATGCAGTATTCTAAGAGTTAGACAATCTAGACACTCGTATTTTGCTATTGAAATGGGCTTTAGCGCGCACGTTTTAAATGAATAAGTAAGTTCGGACATAGTTATCGTATAGCGAGTTTTCCTGCTATCTATGCTACTAACGCTAACATAGTATTACTAAACATAAACCATGTTTATTTTTCTTACCCATTTAGAAAAATGTAGCCCACATAGACCGTAATCATTATAACGAATGACTCAAGAAAACGCGCGTTATTTTTACCTACAGCTTGCCAACAAAATAACAGATTATACCTGAGCAGCAGAGTCGTAAAAGTCGTAAATCAATTGCTAGATTTGAGGCTGACATCACGGCATGCGGCACACGCGATGGTTACGAATTGCAGGAATTCCTTATTCGATATAATTTCGTATTACAACTATCTAAGTATCAAGATCAACCCACTCTCACCGAGTCGATCTTAAACTAAAAATATAACTTGACATTTCCAATCCAACGCATCATCCCAACTTTAATATTATAAATGCGAAAGTAACTCTGTCTGTCTGTCTGTTACGCTTTCCCGCTTAAACCTCGCAACCGATTTTGATGAAATTTGGCATAGAGATAGTTTGAGTCCCGGGAAAGAACATAGGATAGTTTTTATCCCGGTTTTTGAAACAGGGACGCGCGCGATAAAGTTTTTCTGTGACAGACAAAATTCCACGCGGGCGAAGCCGCGGGCGGAAAGCTAGTTAAGTAAATAAATTGTTCCAAGAATCACAGCAATTAACTAGCCCCAAATGTGCCCAAACTAAGCACAGATCGTGCTAATGACACAGAAGAGGATTCGCTCACAAACAGCGTTGTTATTCCAGGCGAACTTATCAGGCGATAGATCATTTAGGTGACTAAGGTTTTTCGTTTTTTATGATGCCAAAATAGATGATTATCCACCCCCCTAAGGCCAGTTTGTTCGACAGGCTGGTACCGAATCATTGAATAATTCAATTCTAATAGAGGCACATTCGCTAATAAGCGAGTCAAAGGAGGCATATTGGCGTAGCGAGGTCCATATGAAGGTGCCCCCACTACACTCAAGAAGAGTGAGGGGAGCGGCGTATCTAGTCGCCAGCTTGGAGCGGCGCGGACGTTCAAGCTAAACATTATTTAGTTAGAGTATCAACTAAAATAAAAATCAACTAAAGGTAGCGGGAAGGCGTTGGATGCAGGCCGCCACCAACCGGCCATTGTGAAAATCATTAGGGAAATATAGGCCGTTCAGCAGTGACTTCCTATGGCTGAAATGATGATGATGATCAACTAAAATTGTACAGTCGCAGAATGAAAAGGTTCGTCACCTTAGTGTCGGTTTTCGCTTGCACTAGGTACTGTAAGAGTCAAACCTGCCAACATAACAGTGCAAGAAACAGTGCTGCTAACATTTAAATAAATATGACGTTTGCTAACGAATAAGGTTTTGCTTGTTTATTTTTCTATCCCATCAGTGCAATGCAATGATGACATTGACCAATTGACAATAGTTTTTTTTATTTAATAGAAATAATAATGGCAGGTTGAACCAACAAGAAGGTTTTAGTTTATCAATCATAATAATCTTCTTGACAAGATAAATCGTCAAACAACTTTGATCAATAATTTTGAACTTTACTGACGAACAGTTAAAGATTAATTTCTCTAACTCGAGATTATTCTGTAACATAGTTTCAAAAGGTAATATGTGTTCGCGATTCGTTGAAGGAATCAATTTGAAAACTGACGAACCTTTTCATTCCGTGACTGTACATAAGGAAGGGTGGAGAAAGGACATCTCGTTCTTTCCTGCCTGATCAAGGGCTAGGGATGGTGTTGGTTGATATGTATATCACCAAGCAAAGATGGTGAGTCAACATCCGACACGGGAGACTGACGCCCGTTTTCACCATCAATCCCTAATTTTTAAGTGACCCCTATGACAACAAAATTCCTGTTATTTGTTACTACAGGGGTCACTTAAAAACTAGGGATTGATGGTGAAAACGGGCATGAATGCTGCTGACAACGCCACTCATGTAGCAGAGTTTTGAGGCTGACACTGTGTAGTTCTGTTGTCGCCACGATAAGATTCAACGATCTCCACTGGTACTAGTTTACAGTATGAAGACCCAAGAAGAAGGTGTACATCCAGTATTGCCAAACCAGTTGTTGGAGTTCTCTTAACTTCTCTTGTCTCTGCCTCCGGTCCCTATCGCTGCGCGAACCTGCACTTTAGGATCATATTGGACATACATAGGTATCTACAATGAACGTGAAATGAGACAAATAATTAAATATATATAGCCTTTGTACCAGTCGATAACAAACAGGGGCACTAATGTTGTAACTTACCTAGTATTCAAAAAACTAGGACATAGTCTTCAAGTTCCCTATTATAAACAAAGTTCAGCATTGTAAGTAGGTAATAGTGCTTTTTATATCGCAATTGACAATTGTTAAGAGACCAGCTGGTGCGTGAATCACAAGGTTGGAGCAAGGCCAAGAAAGAGGAGTACTATCCCCAGTGATACTGTTGCTATGTAAAAAAAATATAAATGTATGACTTGCAAACACTACATTTGTAGTGACATGCACTGTTTTCGTCTTGTCCCCACAGTTAGCGATAATATTCAATAATTGCATAGAGAAGGGAATCTTCCCCGACCTCATGAAACATAGTAGACTAATGCCATTATTTAAGTCTGGTAGTAAAACCGACCCTGGCAATTATAGACCCATTTCTATCTTGCCCGCTCTGAGCAAGATTTTTGAAAAAATCATACAGGAGCAACTTATGATTCACTTTGGCTCTAATAAACTATTTCATAGTGAACAATATGGTTTTACCAAGGGTCGTTCCACCACCGATGCCGGGGTTGCACTACTTAAACATATCTTCGAGGCTTGGGAGAATTCTCAAAATGCACTAGGGGTCTTCTGTGATCTCTCAAAAGCTTTTGACTGCGTAGAACATCAAACGCTAATTCGCAAACTGCACTTTTATGGGGTGAAGGACTCGGCTTTGGATTTAATACAATCCTATTTAAACTTTAGAGTTCAAAAGGTTGACATAAATGGTGTTTTGTCTTCTGGGTCACCTGTGAAAATGGGAGTTCCGCAGGGGTCAATTCTGGGTCCATTCTTGTTTCTTATATACATTAATGATCTACCATATTTTGTTAAGGACTCTTGCGAAATCGTGTTATTTGCTGATGACACATCTTTGATTTTTAATATTGATAGAAGTAAAAATAACTTTGACGATGTAAATAATGCACTAACAAGAGTTTTAAGTTGGTTCACTACAAATAATTTACAACTTAATGCAAAGAAAACAAAATGTATAAAATTCTCTTTGCCTAACGTAAAAACAGTTAGTACCCAAATAGAACTTAATAATAATGCCATCGATCTGGTAGACTCTACTGTTTTTCTGGGAATTACCCTGGATTCAAAACTCCAGTGGGGCCCCCATATAGAAACTCTGGCGGGAAAGCTCAGCTCAGCGGCTTTTGCAATAAAAAGGATACGGTCATTAACCGATGTTTCAACAGCTCGCTTAGTTTACTTTAGCTACTTTCATAGCCTAATGTCATATGGAATCATGCTATGGGGCAAAGCTGCAGATTTTGAAACAATATTTATTTTGCAAAAACGTGCGATAAGATACTTGTATAAAATGAAAGCAAGAGCGTCCCTTAGAGAATTGTTTAAAGAAATTGGCATTCTCACGGCCGCTTCACAATACATCTTAAACTGTATTCTATTTATTCAACAAAATATTAATGAATTCAAAAAGAAAAGTGATATTCACCAAATTAACACTAGAAATAAAAATAAATTGGCTATACCCGCTTTTAGACTTAATAAAGTGTTTGCCACTTTTATGGGACAAGGTATCCATTTTTATAACAAAGTCCCTGATAAATATAAAGAGCTACCGTATAATAAATTTAAAGGTATAGTTAAAGATCACATGCTTAAAAAAGCCTATTATACAACTCGAGATTTTCTTAATGATAAGTCATCCTGGGAGTAGGATTATGGTCCTCTCATGCTCGCACTAAAAATAATTAAAATGGAAAGTAATGTATAAACTAATAATAATTTCTCAAATGTTATAGTGTCATGCTTCTCAATCTGGACTGTTACTTAGCTTTATTATTAGTTTTTTTTTAAAAGATAACTTGGAATTGTCATTCTCACTAAAATGTCTCTGGGGTGGTGGCGTAGTGAGGCGGGTCGTTACATTCCCTCTAATATGGTCGAGTGAAGCGATGGCTGGTTCACTCGTCATGTCTGTGAACAGGCGCTGCTTTCGGGGACTGGTCAATCCAAGTTATTCAAATTTATGTATGCGAGTCATTTCTACTAGTATCTTAATATGTAAGTCTAGATATTAGCACGTCACTACCTTGTTTAATATACCACGCAATCTTGTATACCCATTCTTATAAGATACACCATACAAGAATGCATGGTAAATTCAGTGAACTGCTCCTGAATCGAATGTACCTACTACTGCTATTTCTATTTATTTATATTAACCGGCAGACAGTGGTGACTGAGTTTGTTGCGGCGCTTCTTCTCAGCACTTGCCAAATGTTGGTCTCGAAGCGCTGGTAGGGTAAAAAGATTATGAGACATGTAGAGGCTCCTTAAGAGCAAAATGACGATTTGTAAGAACTATTTATTAGTCTAAACAAATAAAGAAATTTTGACTTTGACTTTGACTTTGACTTGCATAATGTATCTAGTTGTGTGACATGTGCAAGATAATGAATGCACATAATAACAGTCTAAAGTTTCATCAGAATAGAGAGAATCATTCTCTTCATAATCAACATAATCAAGAAAGGTGTATAGCTAGCAATAGACCATACAGTCTTCATGTCTTGATTACTATGAACTGGTCTTTATGGATGTGTTTCCAGGGGTAAATCAATTTAATTAAAATAAATATGATTTTCTATAGAAAATATTATAATACATAATCATCAAAATCAGGTCATTCATGCAGGAGCAAAACCCCTTCCTAATTTACTCGAGGCAAATGAAGGTTTTGAACTACACTCCCCACTCCTCCACACAAACCCTTGAGGGTTAGGGAGGCATAACAATGCAAATCATAACAATGCATATTTGGTTGTAGCCTATATTCATTCCAAATATTTATCAAATCAAAAAAGATATTTAAAAATTAAAGAGAACATCCTCCTTTTGTTGAAGTCGGTTAAAAGACTACTGAGTAGTTTACATAATGTCAAACACAGACAGACATGAATAAATTACATTCCTGATTCACACATCTTGTGTCGATCTCTTGAACATTGAGATTATTTTGGCATCATTTCAAAGCAACATGTTAGTCTCATTGACCTGATGGATTAAAGAATATTTACAAAATCTATAACACTACAACCAAAATAGCTCTAGCTATATCATAAGTACATACATTAGAAAAAAATTGGGAGCACAAATAGAGAAAGCTAGAAAACTATGTAACACAACTAAAGATTTATTATAATTGAATACAGTTTAGTAATAACATTTTCGGTAGTGAATAATGGTCATTGCATTGGCAGGCAGACTTTGTGATAAAGTTTTTAAAGATCAAGTTACATTCAAAACTATGGCATTGGTACTATATGTATAGTACAAAAACAAATACCTACTATAATATTTTGTTTATAATTCAAGAATATCAGTGCAATTTGTAGCAGCTGGCAGTGTATAATTATTTTTGTAGCAATAAAAAGTTTAAAATCACAGCACTTATCAGAAAACAATAAATACCTACTACGATTGTGGGGAACGTTCTGGATAAAAGCTAAGATTAGAGTTGTTTTAAATGCTAAATGTATCACGGTTATAATTAGAGAGCTAGGCTCTTGACCTTTAGATCCTCGGTTTGACACTTAAGATTGGCACACAGTTGTAATTAATTTTAAAGTTTAGTTTCACACCAAAATCTAGTACCTAATCTGGCATTATTTTAATCAACCATTGTCTCCATGAAATGTATTTATTTAAAAATTTTAAGGTTTAAGAGAATGAAGCTTGATATCATGAGTAAAAAGCAAATAAAAACTTGCAAGAGTGGGTATTCAGAAAACTAAACAAAAATCTATTGCATTCATTAATATTAAGTCACATTACTATTCAATGTATCCTAGCCTGTAATAAATACATAACAATAAAGTAACCAAGAAATGAGTAATTTACCTAATATATTGTATGCAAATGTTGTTATGTGACTCAACAAGGAATGTTTACCAAAATAACCTATAATTCCTAAAATTTATTTTGAAATTGTTCATTAACATTGATCACAGCATGTTGACCCAGAAAGTTTGTTTACACAAGGATAGGTTATGGTTTGTTTCTATGCACCAAATTGGATTTAGCTACCATACAACAATGTTGCAAAACATAGGCTGGTTTTGAAACTTTCCAATGCTCAGTTTAGCTAAATATGGTCAAATTCTGCCCTTTTCTACAATTTCCTATGTTTTGTCTATCAATTCGTTGCAAGAAATGTGCGTAGAATAGCCACGACATCCTTTGTTGGGTATAGATGACGCACTGTAAATCGAATTCTGTCAAACGAAATAGTTGTGTAATATAACATCGAAACTCACCTTCAACCCTGAATATCTTCGATTTGATCGCGAATATAGTGTCCGTCGGGGACACCGTCATTTCGAAGGCGGTCCCCGTGAGGGTCTCCACCAGGACCTCCATCGTAGGCTGGCTCGGACCATCTTCCTGGAATCCTTTCGATCTATTGGAAAGTCTCTCTGGGCATCCATGTTGTGACATTTCACACGCAATACACAAAATTAACTATCTGCACCACATCGCAGTTCATAAAATGTTTATATCAGAATAATTATCAGCACCGAGACGATTACACGATGTAGTAAAATATTGGTACCTCGGCGGCTAGAAACTGATTTAAAGCACAATATAATTACGTAAGAAACACAAATGAAGCAAATTAAATGGAAAAGTCCACTAATTATCTACTATTTTAGCAACAAAAATAATTACAACACAGAAAGAAAATCGTCGTGACAGAACAGCAGTTTTTTTTTTGTTGATTGATGCATTGATGGTTAAAGCGAATTGAGTGACTGAATTACTGAAATGAATGAACTAGTTCGTGGAGTTCTCTATGGTAGAATATTTTTCTAGAAAGTGAAAAGAAAACCTATAAATTCAACTTTTAGATAATATTGACTAGCTGGTAGGCTATGAATTCGTTGCTAATCGTATTTGTTCATCGTAGCGTTTGTTTTATAATCGTTTTCTTATGAATTTAGTCGAAGAAGATATTTGCCAAGGAGAGATTAACAATGTTAAATGGCAACACTGTTTCCGGCTTGGCTTGTAAATATGGCTTAAAACACAAAATGCCAATGCTGTGAAATTAGAAAAAAAATTAATACCGGAAACAGATACTCCCTGTCACTTGCTTGTCTATGATCTCGAGCTCTTTTCCGTCTTTCTTCGTTTACCGATTCGGAGGTTAGAAACATGGTGCGTAAATTTTTGCAAATAGAAATTGGTTTATTACCGTGAAATTCAAGCTAGTAATCAAAAGAAGATGTTACGTGTTGTGCGGAATAAATTGGATGGATTATTTCACTGATCATCGATATCAACACGCGTCATTAGTGTTGAGTCGTGTGAGCATGTGGCCTGAAGACTCCTTTTATGTTTTCAGACTCGCAAACGCCGTAATGGAGGACGCGCCAAGCACGGCCGTGGCCACGTGAAGGCCGTCAGATGCACCAACTGCGCCCGATGTGTGCCGAAGGACAAGGCTATCAAGAAGTTCGTCATTAGGAATATTGTCGAAGCTGCCGCCGTGAGAGATATCAACGAAGCCTCCGTATATGCCTGTAAGTAGATCTTCATAAATTACTTTGTTCATGAAATTGCCTGAACAAAAATATATGTGACTATTTATCAAATCAAAGATACTGAAAAACAGAACCCTAACCTATAAAACTAACTTTCTCTAACTCAGCCTTTACAAGATATTTGAAACTAGTAATAATACCAATGATATTATAGATAATATCATTGAGTAATACTAATTACTTCATTCACCTGATAGCAGAACCGTCTGAATGACAAGTAAACTATCTGATACCCTATCAACCAGTTATATCCATAGCACTATTTTAACAATATTCTATTTTGTTTACAGCATTCCAGCTCCCCAAGTTATATGCTAAGCTCCACTACTGCGTGTCGTGCGCAATCCACAGCAAGGTGGTGCGCAACAGGTCGAAGAAGGACAGGCGCATCCGGACACCACCCAAGAGCAACTTCCCCCGCGACATGTCTCGCCCACAAAATGTACAGAGGAAGTAAAAGCTTTGTAATAAATAAGTGAAAACCCAAATATCTTTTATTTTTTATACTATGATAGGCACCCCTGTTGAAAAGTTTAAAATTATTCCAAAACATCACTTATTTTTTGATTAGCTACCATAAAATAACAATTTGGAAAAAATATCCAAACAGTTTGACTATCAAACTACTGGTAGGACTAGATGGAATAAAGGGACAATAATCACTACACACATTACCTACTATTTGACTAATAACTTGCTTTTGAGTACCTACCTATAGTTTCTGGTTGATAGCCAACTATCTTCTAGACCAGTGGTTCTTAACTTTTAAGTCATGAGGGACCATTTTACCAAATTTTTGTCTATACTTGTATATTTTTGGCCACACAATTGGTTATAATTAGTTATTATGTTACAGTCAAAACTCATAATCGGTCAAAACCACTTGACTACAATAATCAGTTAAATGTGGTTTTGACCGATGGCCCTTAGTCAATATCACGACTGATTTTTCCAGTCAAAAGTGATTTGGACCAAGGTGTGCAAGTGCACTTCGTGGACCACTTGGAATCCCTCCAGGGACCACCAGTGGTCCGTGAACCACCGGTTAAGAACCACTGTTCTAGACAATTTATTTCTCAGAAATTAGTTTCCATTACAGAAGCTCAACTGTCTAATTTAATCCAGAGGTAAATATAGTTTTGCCTGCATTGGCCAGATGGGTTAGAGAGAGAGAGTAACATAATGTTTGTAACTAAGCTTATTTAACAAAAAAAACAGTTATAGATCTTTAACCAATGTAATTTAAAATTTAGGTAAAGATAAAACCTTAGACAATATAGATAGGTATCTTATGTCTTTAATAGCAGTAAATAGAAACGGTTCATTCAATATACAGCATAGTACATTATGGTACAAACATAATGATTGTATTAACTTTATAGTTATTCATTATCAATGCAAGAATTCAAATATTATAATTTAGATTAATTAACTCCATAGCAGAACAATTTTAATAATACCAATACAAACAAATGAAGTAAATAACATTCAATACATTTATTTATTTAGAATTTTTGATTTCAAAAACCATGTTTAAAGATTAATGCTCAACATAAGAAGCATGGGTTATCTAATTACATCTAATACAATCTACACAACAAATGTGGGCTTACAAAACCATGTGGTAAAGTTTAAACTACATACTTAACAACTAGTTGTAATGAAAAGTTATAAACAGACTGTTCAAGATGTAAGTACATGTTGAAAAGAAATTATTAAGTTCTATTTTTCAGATAATTGAAATTAAATTGATAAGATCCATTATAGTCAGACATGTTTACAACCAAGTTTACATTTACTCCCCACATAATGATACACTAATACAGGATTCAGACAAAGAGCTAAGTGCAAACTGGAAACACTGAAAGTTAGAGAGAATAGTAAATATAAATCTGTTAGTCACACTCAGCAACAATATCTGAATCCTGCTCTCTAATCTCTAAGCTATGTCTATCAAGGGCCCTTTATCTTGTAGATGGTTTGTGGGAACTTCGGCACAGCTTTGTCATTATTTGTCTCTAGGGCCTCCTTCAAGTTCTTTTCAAATACTTTTTTCGCATCACAGAAACCTTGTTTGGTCTTTCCAAAAGAATTAGGGCCTGCTGATGTAGGTGTTTCTCTGAAAATAATAATTTCAATGTAAGTCAGATGTTAGGCTAAAAAAGTAAAGTACAGAAGAAGGTATACTATGTTCTCTGAAAATAATAATTTCATTTTAAGTCAGATCTTAGGCTACATTTCACACAAAAAAAACAAGTCTCACCTGCCAATGTTCCTCATTCTCATGCGAGCTTCTGCTGGCATCTCTTCTGGTTCATCATCATCATCCGTGTTGAACACAGAAGCAACTGTGGGTTTCTTAATCCCCATGTTGGGCTTTGGAGCACCACCTAGAGTCATTTTGATGGGTTCCTTAGGTTTTGAGAAACCAATGGAGATTTTAGTGATGCGAGGCGGCGGCGGGGGCGCAGGCACTTCCTCGTCAGAGTCTTCCCAATCATTTGAGCGTTGGGGATGTCTTTTGTCTGTAATAAATAGTAGAATTAAAATTTGGCCAAGCTCTATTAACTAACTTAGAAAGACAATTATACAGCAAAATTAAGTACCATCATAGCGTTCATCCTTGTCACGGCTCTTTGAAGATCTTTCAGGGGTGTAGCGACTCCCGCGGGGCTCCGGGGAGTATCGTCTTCGCGGAGAGCGCGACCTCGATCGCGACCTCCTCCTGTCCCGACCGTCCCGCCCACTCTCTCGGTGCGTCCTAGAATCATCACGCGTGGATCGAGACGACCCTGCCAATGCGAAAACACTGGCAAAGATAAATAAAGAGACGTATTTGAGTCACTAAATAAAGATAGCAAAACCAGGTGTCTGAAAACGAAGTTGGCTTTAAAGTTTTATGTCATTCGAATACCTTTGTAATCACTGTAGCGGTCCGTCATGGTGCTTAGTATTTTTTTGTGAGCATTGATGAACAATTGATTGAATCAATGAAGCAAATAATAAAAATGGTAAAATAAATCGATCGATTTGTCAACATTTGACATATTTTTCAGCCGCCATGACTCATGAAACTCTATAGTCTATGCTTATTCGTTTCGTTCGGAAATTGCTTTCCACAAGTTGAACTTGAATAAGTGCATAGACAATAATGGTTTTGCGAGATGAAAATTAAATAATTTCCCAATCACGATTTCAAAACTTGACAGAAACGTCAAGACTGAAAAAAAATAATTACTTGACGTTTGGGAAGAGGTTATGTTTGTGATTTTAATTAGCTCAATATAATTCATTTTAAATTAATTTTAAAGTAAATATTGATTCATGATTCTAGATAATGTTTTTTTTACGCCAAAGCCGACGCTTGATACCACATTTGAACTCTGTGGTACTCAGAAATTGTAGATGTTATTCGGACTCAACAAGATTAGATTCCGTTCGAAATCAAATAAAAAAGGGGCCAGGATTGAAAGAATTTATAGTTGGGTCATCAGAACCTGTTCTTGTAGACCGCCCTCACATACCTTATTTGCCAGAAAATGTTCAAGTTACGTGTAAAAGGAAAGTTTTCTTCGATGTGTATGGATGTCAGATGAATCTCAATGATACTGAAATTGTGTGGTCTATATTGAAGAATGAGGGTTTTGAAAGGACAGAAGTGGAAGATGAAGCGGATATATTTCTTGTGATGACGTGCGCCATCCGTGAAGGAGCCGAGTCAAAGATTTGGTATCGTTTAGATCACTTGAGAGGTTTCAAGCGACGGCGGGAGATGTCTAAGAACAGGGACAAGCCCGTGAAGATCGGTTTACTGGGCTGCATGGCGGAGCGATTGAAAGAGAAGCTGATAGAGAAAGAGAAAGCTGTTGATGTAGGTAAGATTTTTCTTCACAGCAACTGTTACTTTGTCTTATGTAATGAACTAGTCTTATAAAATGGTGTATTATAGTGTAATTTACATCTTTTACATACCAGTTTTTTGTTTTCTCTACAGTTGCAGGCCCAGACAGCTACAGAGACTTACCCAGACTCCTAGCGCTCACAAATAGTGGTCAAACTGCTGTGAATGTGCTACTATCTCTTGATGAGACGTATGCTGACGTTGTACCAGTTCGTCTCAACCAGGACAGTGTGTCCGCTTTTATGTAAGAAAATCTAAACTTATTAACCTGTACAAGTTTTATAATGTGAATCTGACTGTATCTTATTTGTTAACAGTTCAATAATGCGAGGCTGTGACAACATGTGCACATATTGCATAGTACCATTCACCAGAGGCAGAGAGCGTTCGAGGCCAGTAAACTCCATTGTAGATGAGGTTCGGTTACTGGCCGACCAGGGGGTCAAAGAAGTCACATTGCTCGGCCAAAATGTTAATAGTTATAGAGATATTTCACAACAAACTGAGAAGGTTGATACACAAATGGCTAAAGGTAACATTTTCTTTGAAATTACAACAATAAAAAAGTTGGTGGTTAGTTACATGTTTTTGCAATAAATGTTTTTTTAGGATTTAAAACAGTATACAAAAGCAAGAAGGGTGGTCTGAGATTTGCTGATCTGTTGGACAAAGTGTCATCAGTGGATCCTGAGATGAGAATACGGTTTACAGCAGCACATCCTAAAGATTTCCCTGATGAGGTGAGTTGTGGGATAATTATCATAGGTAGTGATGAATTTTCTTTATTTCAGAATATCCCGAAATATTATGTATCTGGTGTAAGATTTACACAGAAATTGCAGTCTCAGTTTTTAATACCTTTGCACAGGGATGCTTAATCTCTGATCAATCCAAAGTTCTCAACTCAATGCATATCCCCTGCAAGTCTTGCTTTATGAGGTCTTAATGGCCCTTTTGTTGAAATGAATATTTTCCTGTGACTGCTGATAATATAATCTGACAAGTAACACCCCATAACTGAAACCAGTGAAAATCAGTGTCTTGGCAGTCACACTGTCAAGATGTTACTGAGTGGGTGACCTTTTATACCGTGTAATGGCTATGCTCACGTGACATTGGCAAACGTGGAAACACAATAGCCACAGAGAAGAAGAAGAAGACCTTTTTTAGCAGCTATGTTTCATTTTTTTGTCTTTTGTAGCTAAAATAAAATTATTTTCTTTCTTTAACTCCATTCTTAAAGTATATCACCTCAGGTGCTCCAAGTGATCTCGGAGCGGCCCAACATCTGCAAGCTGCTGCACCTGCCCGCCCAGAGCGGCTGCAGCGCGGTGCTGGAGCGAATGCGGCGCGGGTACACACGGGAGGCCTACCTGCTGCTGGTGGAGCACGTGAGGAACACTATTCCGGGAGGTAGGTGGGACCATGTTAAAAAGCCTCTATACTAAGCCTGGATTGCACCATCTTACTTTAACTTTCACAAACGTCAAAAATCTGTCAAACTCCATACAAAAATCGTCATAGTTATCGTTAAAGTTAGGTGGTCCAACTCAGCCTAAGATACCCGCGCATTAGACAGTTGTGTACAACACGTGAAACATTTTATTCGGTTGATGCCCGTTTTCTTGTAACGTGAATTTTAAGTGATCCCTTTGAAAACAAAGTGTCATATTGTGTTACCATAGGGGTAACTTAAAAATAAGGGATTGATGGTGAAAACGGGCATAAGGGTAACAATGAAAGTATCAATGAGGGCTACCGCATTTCCATTCACTAGGGTGGCCACTGTAAAGTCCTGTGATCCTGTCACTGCCCAGTAGCGCCATCTAGGGAGCGCGAATACGATAGCCCTCATTGTTGGCGTAGTTCGCGACATAAACAGTTATGAACTATTTTCGTAGTACAAAAGTGAAATCATCATTTTATATATACTGAGCATCCCAAAGAAACCAAGCTACTGTATTTTAGCTCCTATGGTTATTTTGTTTGTTGCAGTGGGCCTGTCAACAGACATGATCTGTGGGTTCTGTGGGGAGACAGAAGAGGACTTTCAAGAGACGCTAACGCTAATGGATATCGTGGACTACAACATCGCTTTCCTATTCCCATACAGCATGCGAGAGGTATAGCTACACTTTATTCTGTATTTTATTGCGTATTAACAATACCTAACTACATCTTACTGAAACAAACATTTGTAAAAAAAAATATGTGTTACACAATAATAAAAATAACATTTCTTTTTCAGAAAACAACAGCATATCGCAGGTACAAAGACGACGTTCCTGAAGAAGTGAAGAAAGAAAGACACAGCCGCATGATAGAGCTATACCGACGTAAATGCCAACTCCTAAATGAAGCTGAAATAGGGAACACTCACTTAGTTCTAATCGAAGGAACCGTTAAAAAAACCGGGCAAGTTCTAGGCCGCAACGAGTTTTATCTAAAAGTAGTTTTTGATCAAGAGGAAATCTTGTCCGAAGATGGAGGCAAAAGACAGGCGAAACCGGGAGACTACGTAGCTGTTAAGATAGTTTCCGCGAAAGCGTCGGTGTTGCAAGGAAAACCACTTTACCACACTAGTATTGGAGATTTCTATAGAGAATGTAGTTGGAGCGACCGAAGTCGAGTTAGATTATAAGAAATGTTGATAATAAATTAATTTGTTACAAACAATGATTTTGATTTAACATTGTTGTTTATCGATTGAGCGTTTCATTGAAACTCGGAAATTTTTGGTCTGAATTTACATTAAAAAAAAATAAACTTAAAATTATAGTAATAAAGGAAACAAAACACAGCTACATTTAGTTTGTGACACTTCAGAAGTGCAGTTTTATTAGAATCGCTCAATCAATACAAAATTACATTACAAAATACACAATGGAACACAATAAATATCAGTTATTTTACATTTAACATACAAAACGTGCTTATTAGCTATTTTACATATAAATAAAACATCTGTCATTATAGCGACTTTGTTTTAAGCACATTCAAGGTACGACTCCCTTTTTTCACTTATTAATTAAATCGCTATATTACAGACCATGCAAAAAATAATAAATCTGGCAATACAAAAATCACACACACGCTCCACACCATTCTTTACAAAACTTATTGTTGAGTAATTCATCAAAAGGACACAAAACTGTTTCGCTTGTGTTTACAGTTTTACACGAGTATACTTTTTATTTCTTACAAAAATATAATAGCCACATGGAAGGTGGTAAGTTTTTTTTTACACATTTTTACACAAAGTAAACAGTAGTTTGCAATATAAAAAGTACTATTTAAATGTGACAGTTAAAATAACTTAAATTAATTGTGATACATGGCATCAATATTAAAAAATAAATTTGTACTTTATTTGTTATGTTTTTGACCCTAAACTACACGTGATCATGTGTTTATGAGTATAAAAGTGAGTATTTTGTACTTATTAATTTTTATCAGTGAGTTTGCTCATGTGACAAAGTGAGAGTTATGTATTTTTGATCTCTTACGATACTAATTAAATCAATAGTTTTCTCATATAATATAATTTTGATATTTTAAAGCCAGATGTAGTTTAGTATTTATTTTTGTTGAATCAAGGCTAGATACTCAGATAACTATAAGTAGTTATATTTGCTTCTAAGCTTGAGTATCAATCCTTATTTAAAATAGAAAAAGGCACTGGAAGGCACAGAAATTCATGTGTTTTACACCAAACTAGAAGCACCTAGTTGTGCACCAACTTTCCCAGGACCCACATTGACTCGCTGCCCTGAAAGGTTATCTGAACACTCCACGTGCCCTGAAAGACTTGGAGAGGGTCCTTGGGAACTTCCATATACTTTAGTACTGTAGCCAGAGTCGTTGTGAGACTCCCTATCTGTTTGACTCTGCGTTTCAGTCAAATGCGTGTTGATGGCTAAAGACTGAAGGCGACTGTGCAGCAAATTGTGGTCGGCCACAGGTTTCCTGGTCATGCCATGTGCATTCCCTCTAAAGTTCGGGTACACTGGCGAATGGTTATCGTAGTAACCGCCGCGAAAGTGGTCGTTCTGGTTCGCGATTTCTATCTCCGTGTTCTGGTCCAAATGGTCGCTGTAGCATTGCGGTATCCGCTCCATTTCCCGCATCATGTGGTCTTGCATCATCGCATCGAAGACCCCGGTCTGGTGGTGGTACAGGGGGTTCCTACTTCGAGCAGGGACCTGCGTGTGAGGGAGGCCGGTTTCATTGTAATCGTACTGCGGCTGACAAGGGTTGTACTGAGGCACGGGGAGACCGTTGTCGATCATGTCCCTGTAAGGCATCTGATGATGTATCTGCCTGTTCGGTATGTCATGGAAGTAGGCGTCCTTAGGTATCATCGCCCGTAAGTCGTGGTTGTACATGTTATTGTGATTCCCCGCGACCTGTGGTGCTGGGGATTGCGACTTGTTTGACATGGTTTCGTAGTTGGGTAATGGTAATGTCTGTAGCAGGTTAGCATTCCGCATGGGTCCGGGCTGGTGCGTGGTTCTGATGGGATTGTCTTCCTCGTCGCTGCTCTCGGAATTGTTCCCGTTGTCTTTAGGTGGGGTTTGGAAAGTTTTCCTCGTTGGGAAGGGTATGAGGTTGTGCAAACTGAATCGTTTACTCTTCGGTGGCTTCTCTTTCAGCACGGGTGCAGGTCGTTGAGGTTGTTGCGGCATCTTTAATATTCCTGGACTCGGCTGAACGTTGACTGGGGCGATCTGTTCGTCTTGAAGTTCGGTGGGAGGCATCTTCCTCGGCAAAGGAATAAGTTCAGGTGATTGACATATCTGCTGGCATTCCACTTGAGCGACTAACTCTTGCACCGACTTTCTCGGTTCTCGAACGATGTTGTTATCTTCTATCGGGTAGTTGCCCTGTTTACGCAGCTTCACGTAGCCGTCTTGAGCTATGTCGAGGGACTTCGGGTTACTCCTCGACAATACGTCAGACATTTCCTTCTCAAGCATAACTCTTTTCCGAATGTCATCAGCTGTTCTTTGAAGAACCTGGCTTTTCCAAACTGGAACGCTCTGTGGGTTATCTTTCTGAACTCTGTGGAGGTTGTCTCCATCTGAATCGCTCGCTTTGTAATCCGACTGTCTGTTGCTACTGCTCGCTGACTTGGCGTTTGATTGCCGACTAGGTGACGCGTAGCGATCATTGTAATCTGGAACCTCTGACACAGGGGATTGTGAGACAGAAATCTTATTCGCTTTTACATGAATTTCTGCTGTGACATTTTGTGAATGACTTTCACGAGCCGGACTTGCATGCGATGTGTGAGGTGATCTAGAAGGTCTAGAACTTGTGCTTGGGCCTGCTTCAAGCTGATCGCTACTTCTCGAGTTTTTAAGTAAGAATTTTCTTCTTGGAGTCGGCGGGGATCTTCTCGTGTCTAAAACCTCAGTACTTTTAGACGTCGGTTTAGTTTCATTTAGATCTTTGGCATTGCTCTCGTAGTGTTCTGCGTTTTTGTTGAAGCTTCTGATCAGCCTGTTTACTCTATTCCACTCTTCAGCGTGCGCATCCAGAAGTTCCAAACTTCTTGTCCTCTTCAATGGAGGAATATCCAAAGAGCCTTTAGGACTGAAATCTAGTTTCCTGACTCTCTCCGATGCTCTGAACATCATGCCCCGCGTCAGCCATTGTTCCAAATGTTTGTGTCTCTCTTTGCACATCGCTCGTTCCGCAGCTACGAATCTCGTCAACTCGGAAATCTGTCCTTGTGTCTTCATTTCTAAATCAGTGACTTTCTGGTCTAATCTTTCATGAGCTCTGTCTATGTGTCTCTTCAGGTCTTTCTTATCGTCATTCAATTTATCCTCCATGTGTTTGAAGAATGGCGCGCAGTAGCACGTGTAGCCAGCGCCTATTGGACCCTTTTTGATGTTTCCGGCCAGATCCAAGTAGTACTGCTCGCCTTTTTTGAGGGGTTCGGTGGGTAACGAGCTGAGTCTTGGCTTGGGGAAGTATTTAGGATCGGGGTAGTAGTGGCAACCGTAAGGGGACCACTGGACAGTCGGGGGCTCTTGTTCAAAATGGACGTTCTTCTTTTTTTTGTCTTTGTTTTTCTTCTTTGCTTCATCGGGCTCGTCCACTCCCCTTTCTTTGCTTTTGTCTCTGTGTTTTTCTTTCTTCTTGGGTTGTTTCGCTACGGGTGTATTGAGAATGCTGATGATTTCTTCTAGGCCCTTTCTCGTGGCGATGTCCCGGGCGGTTTCGCCTTGCTGGTTCTTGAGCGACTTGTCGCAGCCAGCTTCTAGGAGTATCCTGGTCAGTTTCCGCCGGCCCATGGCTGCGGCGATGTGGAGAGCCGTGTCTCCGTTCTTGTTCTGTTCGGAGACCTTGCATTGGGCTGAGATGAGGATTCTAGTGACGCCTGCGTGGCCGTATCGAGCAGCTGTGTGCAGTGAAGTGTCGCCGTACTGGAAGAGACAAAGAACATTTAAGTCATGATTACCTAAGTAAAGTAGTTAGGTACTCTTACTGAGTGATCTAAATAACACCGTCATAGGTTCGTAATTATTGGTGATCTTCGGTTGAATAACGGTGATAAATCTACATTAAGTTAAAGGTGTGTCCAGTTACAACTTTTAGGTAGGTTAAAGAAGGAAATACGTTCTAGGAATTGCCTCTGTCAACTTACGTTGTTCTGTACATCCGGCGCGGCGCGCCCGTCAGTAGGATCTCGCGGCAGGACTGGTTGTGCCCGTTCTGGCAGGCGAGGTGCAGCAACTAGACACTAGGGATGCCTTGTGTACTCACGTTGTTCTGTATGTCCGGCGGCGCGCCCGCCAGTAAGACCTCGCGGCAGGACTGGTTGTGTCCGTTCTGGCAGGCGAGGTGCAGCAACTAGACACTAGTGATGCCTTGTCTACTCACGTTGTTCTGTATGTCCGGCGGCGCGCCCGCCAGTAAGACCTCGCGGCAGGACTGGTTGTGCCCGTTCTGGCAGGCGAGGTGCAGCAACTAAGCTTGGTCCGTGAGCACGTAGAATTCCGTCCAATGACCCCTAGCTACCCATCCTTATCGCTCGCGCGTAATTATATTGCTGTCGCAACTGTGCGACGCGCGCCCGCAGTGAGTGTGCGAGCGCGACAGCAACATAATTACGTGCGAACGACAAGGATGGGCAGCTTGGGGTCATTGGACGGGATTCTACGTGTTCACGGACCAGGCTTTAGACACTAGTGATGCCTTGTGTACTCACGTTGTTCTGTATGTCCGGCGGCGCGCCCGCCAGTAGGACCTCGCGGCAGGACTGGTTGTGTCCGTTCTGGCAGGCGAGGTGCAGCGGCGCAAAGCCGCCCGCGTTGCGCGCGCGCAGGTCCGCGCCGGCCGCCGCCAGCAGCGCCACGCAGCGGCTGTAGCCCTTCCATGCTGCCTCGTGCGCGGCTGTGTTGCCGTGCTGCGGATGGATACATATAATGCAATTTGATTAGGGTAGTTGATGAAACCATTAAATAATCAATCTCAGTCAAGCACGGAGAGAGTACGTCACTGTCTCTGACCAGATGGGGATGAGGCGTCGCAAACAAATGGCGAATTCCCGAGGGCGTCACAGAAAAAAAGTTTAAGAAGCCTTGGTCCTGGTAGTTAATAGGTTTACAAAATTTTGTCCTTCGGGTTCAGTCGCAGTAAGCAAAGACTATGAGTTCCAGCACAAATAAGACTGACGCCGGGTTGGCAGATTATGCACCTACTGGAATAGAACAGGATTTCTCAAAGACGGGTACGCGAACCGCTAGGGTTCGCAATTCGACGGCAGGGAGGTTCGCGACAAGATTTACGTAATGGTGGCCTGATGACTGACAGGCACGTGCGGCGAACCGTAGTGGTAACTAATTAAATGCGGGGGAATTTAATTAGTTACCACTACGGTTCGCCGTCACCTGGAAACTTTAACAGGGGATATTTTGAGATACCCTGGAGTAGAGCATAAGGAGTAGTTTACCACGTGGTCCTGCTTGTTGGGGTCGGCGCCGCGCCGCAGCAGCAGCTGCACCGCGTCCACGTGCCCGTCCGCCGCCGCGCGCTGCAGCGCACTGCATCCATTCTGCAACAGAACATATGTTAACATTACATAACGTTGTAAACCACTGGACGGAACGGGCTAAAATTTGGCATGCAGGTAGATGTTATGACGTAGGCATCCACTAAGAAAGGATTTTACGAAACTCCACCCCTAATAGGGTAAAACGGAATCCACGCGTACGAAGTCGCGAGCGGCCGCTATGTCAGTCAATCAGTCACCTTTGAGTTATACCTATATATTTAGACTAGCTTCGCGCGCGTCCCTGTTTCAAAAACGGGGATAAAAACTATCCTATTCCTTTCCCGGGACTCAAACTATCTCTATGCCAAAAATCAAAATCGGTTCAGTGGTTTAGACGTGAAAGCAAGAGAGACAGACAGACTGACAGAAAGAGTTACTTTCGCATTTATAATATTAGTATAGATTACATAAAATTGTTACTTTGTTTTTGTTGTGGTGAGTATAGGCTGCACCGGTCATCGATCTCTGTGGTTAGATATTGTTTATTGTTCTCACATTTACAAGAAGGAAAGTAAAGCAAGGTTGCCATTTTCATTTACAAAACAAACAAAAACAAACATCCTTTGGTCTTTCAAAAAGTGCGGCAACTGGAATAAAATGGGCGGCAAAGGGTAAAATAAGGGTCTAGTCGATTGACATTTTTTTATGAGCTGTGTAGTCAAGGTATGAAATAAGAACCGTAAAATAGTAAATTGCTTTTGCAGTCGAGTAGATAAGTGCCCGATTACATTAATTACAGCGTAATAAAAAACCTTCAGTTTCAACATTATGCAAAACTTTATTATTGAAAGTTTTAATGAAGTTTCAGAAAACGCTTCACTTCAGCGTAATTTCAAAGGAAATACTAACTTTTACTGTCACATAAACTTATGTAAAACCGCGTAACAGCTGTATAGGATTCATTACATCTTACGTTACTCATTAAAATTTATACGCGGCCATTGAATAGATTTGCGAGGGTCGTAATTGGTCCGGGAATCGGCCGCGTGATTGTGCTCGCGTTGCGTTTGCCCAGACGACTTCATAATGCAAGGGTTTGCCATAATAACGGGCGTAATGAAGGCAGAAATAACGGAAATTACTATCTTACTTCAACTTTAACAAACGACAAGTCTGTCAAACTCCGTACAAAAACGATGGTTAAAGTTAAGGTGGCGCAACTGAGGCTAAGGGTAACGTCTCAAAAGCTTGCAAATTCTGCTAAGCTTTAACATAATTATTTATTTATTTAAGGGTAGTACAGCACAATATCAATTTAGGTTACAATATGTCTTAGTAAAATTTTGTAGGCCAATTATGACTAAGTATCCAACATTTAAAATTTCTCCATAGTTATACCTTCTCAAGTGACAATTTAAAGATTTAAATTACTGAAGGGAAGCTAAAACATCAAATATAATAAAATCTACTTGCACAGAACACTGGCAGAATGACGTAACGTAAAGCTGGTGCCTACAAAGCTTTTCATTAAAGAAAATTTAAAGACTGCTGCCAACCAAGACGATTCGCTTTCCAGCCAAGCCAAGTAATATAATCAGTAAATTGATATGAGCGACATATCGTTAAAATCGAGACGAGAAAGCAAAATGATGTGCTTGCTACATGCGGTAAAATATTTTATCTTTATTCAGTAGGCATAAAGACACCCTGCAATTAAAATCAGATGTATGCCAGCGCCTGAATAATAATAATAATAATAATAAAGCTTTTTTATTTATCCATATTTCAAGTTATTACACATACAATATGATTTTTATTATATTTATACGGATCCCTTTTGGGTAAAAGCCTCCTCCATCTTTTGCCATTTTTCTCTATCCTGCGCGACTTTCATCCAGTTGGTGCCGGCAATTTCGACGATGTCATCTGACCATCGTTTTCGTGGTCTACCTGATTTTCTTTTACCAGCTGGTCCCAGCCATTTTGTTGTTTCTTGTGTCCACCTTCTTTCACTGTATCTGGAAATATGTCCAGCCCACTTCCATTTGAGACGTAGGGCATGTTGAAGGGCATCTGTAAGTTTGGTTTTTTTTCTTATCTCTTCATTCCTGATTTTCTGGATTCTTCTCAGCTTTAGTATGCTTCTTTCCATAGCATGCTGACATGTTGTAATTTTATTTCTTATACTGTTTGTATATGTCCATGTTTGGCTTCCGTAAGTGAGACTTGGTAGGATACAGGTGTCCATTACTATTTGTTTTAGTTTTATGCTATAGTCTCCTTTAAGGATTTCTTTAAGCGCCCAGAATTTCTTCCAGGTACAGTTGATCCTCCGGTCTACTTCGTCTTCATTGTTCTTCGTACCGAAAGATAGTTGTTTCCCAAGGTAGATATATTCATTCACATACTCAATACAGAGACCCGACACGTTTATCTGTTGTCTTAGATGGTTTGTCATTATTTTGGTTTTGTTTATGTTCATGTGTAATCCCACTTTTTTACTTTTGCTGTCCAGAATTTGTATCATTTGCTCTAGCTCGTTTGCTGTTTCTGCAAAAAGGACAATGTCGTCAGCAAATCTGAGATGGTTTAAGTAATGTCCCTGTATCTTCAGTCCTTTTTCTTTCCAATCTATTTCTTTAAATATGCCTTCCAGTACTGCTATGAATAGCTTGGGAGACAATGGGTCGCCTTGTCTGACGCCTCTCTCTATTGTTATTTCTTCCCCTTTATTTTCCAGACTTATGATACTGGTACTTTGCGTGTAGATGTACTTTATGACTTCTATATATTTCCTACTTATTCCACACATGGCGAGCGCTTTCCATATCGAGTTGTGTGATATGCTGTCAAATGCCTTTGCATAGTCGATGAACGCGATATAGAGTGGTCGGTTGTATTCTTTATACTTTTCGAGTATCTGGTCCAATGTATGTATGTGGTCTATAGTGGAGAAACCAGAACGGAAGCCTGCTTGTTCGATTGGTTGGTTGTTATCTATCTTTGCTGATATTCGGCTTAATACAATAGAAGTGAAAAGTTTATAAATGCTGGACAATAAGCTTATTGGCCTGTAGTTTCCAATGTCTGCTGGGTTACCTTTTTTGTATAGGAGTACTATGTTTGAGCAGCACCATTGTTTGGGAGCTTTTCCATTTTCCAGCACCATATTAAACAGTTCGGCAAAATATGGAATCAGAATGGGTGCTCCAATCTTTATAGCTTCATTACTTATGTTATCTGGTCCAGGACTTTTGTCGGTCTTTAGTTTTTTTATATGATGAAATACATCAGTAGTGCTTATTGGTTCCACTTCTACAGGTTCCTCTGTATCCTCAAAAATTGCTGGGTTTTCCTCAGGAGCGTCTTCTAATGGTTTCTTGTATAGCTCTCTGTAAAAAGCAGTTGCATGTTCTATGATATCGCTTCTAGACGTTGTTTCTCCATGTTCGTTTTTAAGTTTTTGTATCCAAACTTTTTGAGTGTTTAATTCTTTGAATGCCCGTTTGGAACTTCTGTACATGTTCAGGTTTTTCTCTATGGTTCTTTGTCTGTGGTTATTGTAATCTTCTTTAATAGCTTTGTTTGTTACCTTGAATATGTTTTTTAGTTCTGTTTTTGTACTTCTGTCTTTATTTTTGGTTGATATTAATTCTGAACGTCTCTTTATCAAGTTCACTGTAGTATCTCTTAGGATTGTTGGCTTTTTCTTAGTTTTCTTGTTTATTTCTATTGTTTGCAGACTAGTTATGATAATGTTTTCCAATATGTCATAGTACATTTGCAAATTGTCGATATGTAAGGCTATAAGCTGTTTGTTTATATTATCTTTTAAATTTTTCATATATGTGGATTTTTCTGTGTCTGATTCTGGTGCTTTTGATTGAGGCTTGAATGATTTTCTGTTCAATTTAAGAGATTTTAATGTAAACGTTGATCTCAATAGTCTATGGTCTGATGGGAATTCTAAATTATTCAGTACTTCTATGTTTGTTATATTTTTTGGTTTGTTACACATAATAAAATCGATTTCATTTTTTACTTTTTGGTTAGGAGACATCCATGTCCATCTGCGACTTTGCTTTTTTTTGAAGTATGTGTTCATAATGGATAACTTTTGTTCGCAAGCATATTGGATAAGCCTTTCGCCTCTTGCATTTCTTTTTCCATATCCGTAATTACCCATTACTAAATTTTCAAGTTTCTTTGGCTGTCCAATTTTTGCGTTAAAATCTCCCATGACTATCACTGTTTTTTCCTCTGATTCATGAGCTTTCCTCATATCGCCATAGAATTTTTCGAGGTCTTCTTCGCTAGCTTTTTCAGTGGGAGCATAAGCTTGAATGATTGATAATGTATGATTTCCAAATCTCAGCTTCAGTACGGCCACTCGTTCTGATATTCCGGTATAGTTGACAATATTTTGTTTAAAAGTCTTCTTAATAATGAATCCCACTCCATGAAGTCCACCTGATACTCCCGTATAGCAAAGTATGAAGTCTTGGTGTTCCTCAATGGTGCAGCCCTGTTTTCTTACTTCACTGAGTCCTATTATGTCATAGTTTATTTTCTTGAGGGCGTGAGATAGTTCCAATAGTCGTTCGTTTGATAGTAGCGATCTTACGTTATAGGTGCATAATCTGAGTTGTTGGTTTCTATTAGGTGGTGTGTGGATGGGTGTAGTTAGTTCATTTGATGACCTCGCTGTATGTTGAAAGTGGGTATATGGAGGGTAGTAGTCTACTTTCCCCACGGTGACTAGCCGGCTTGGGGTGTTGTTTATTGGAGTTTTTCTAAATCCATAGTTTTTATTTTCTATATGGCGGTTCCGGATGGTGGAGGCGGTTAATTGTTTTTTGGGATGTCTGATAGAGAAGAAGCAGATCTCTCGCGTGCAACATAGTTCAATATATTTGGTCTAATTACTTGTTTTGATGGGGCTGTTGTTGCTGTATTTGCAGAATCTTCTGTGTTCCTAGTATTTTGCTTCTTTTGTGGTGCTAATTTTGGTGACTTGCTATCTCTTTTCCTTTTTTCTTTACTTGAGTTGTATGGATGCTTTACTACTAATTTGTCGTATTTGATGTATGCTACGTTTCCTTTTTTCTTTTCTTCATCTACTTTTGACTGTAATTCTTTGCGTGTTATTAGAACGTCTTTCGGGTAATCTTCTTTGACATATATCCCTGAAGGAAGGTTAGCTTTGTTCTTCAAGATCAGGTGTTTCTTCCATGTTGTAGTGAGTGTAACGACGACGGGGCGACATTTGGATGATGGTTTACCAATTCGATAGATATTGCTTATCTCTTGACTGTCCAAATGGGTTCCTGAATCCTGAATGGTTTCTTTAATGTAGTCTATCAGTTCAGTCTCGTTCTTGTCTTTTTCGTTGGAGCCAAAAAAGATAATGTTGTTTTTGCGTTTCTCTTTTTCGATCGAATTGAGTTTCACTTCTAAGTTTGCAACTTTTTGTTTTAGGTTATTATTTTCTTCTATGATTGGTGCTAGCCTATTTTCTAGGACCTCCATTACGTTTGCTGTTAACGCTGTAGTGATAGCTAGTGTTTGTTTATTTAGTTTTTCGTCAAGTTTTGATAGCAAAACTTCCATGTTGATATCCATTTTTCGGAGAAATTTAGTTTCTTGTGAAGGGAACACCGATTATTTTTTGTTGTTGCAACACTGACACTGTCACACTGACAGCAGTTGTCTATGGCGATTCGTTCGTTAGGTTGGCACTACTTCCTGCTTGGTGTACGTTTTTTGACAGATGAGTTTGTTTTGATGAATTGCACTTCTAACTTGCAGAGTTTATTCACTTTTTTAATAAAAATAGCGCAATGTTTTCACTGTCCCACTGTTCGCTGCAATGTTCGTGTACTCGATGCTCATAGTTGTTGACAAATTGAGTATTTTTGTGACGATTATACACAGTTTCGTAGCTATATTTGCGGAGATCACTTTCGTGCGTGCTACTTCTACGACCACCGGAACCGGAAACCTTTACGTAGAGTACATTTTAACTTATACGTAGTCAAAACATCGAAAATACAAAGTGTGATTAAATAAACAACTGTATTTATAAAGTGATGATGATTAGGAATTTCGTGTTATACAATTAAGACAAAAGGTACTGATAGTACTCCCTTAGTTTATACAGTTGAAAACTTAGCTAATCGAATCTACGCAACTCTATTTCCACCAAAAAATGGGTTTTCTTGTTCCACTTTCGGCAAGTTATAGATCCAAACTTTCCACTGTAACGAATAGCCTTAAGGGCCATAGCAGACATGCAACTTTTAGCATCGGCGATCGGCGATTTTGTGACCGTATCGATGAAGCATCGCGATTTTGCGAATTCATGCGTTCAAATCAATCAAATCAAATCAAACCATTTATTTGTAAAAGATAGGTAAATGTGGAATAAAGGTGGTAAATATAATGGGAATCGGTATCAGAATCGCGCGTTTGGCAACTCTACCCAGGGCCGTCTTTAATCTACTAGTGGCCCTGAGCACATAAGGATTAAGGGAGGCCCTTCTCACCTGGAGAAAGATCTTTTATGAGAACAGACGGGGGCCTCCTCGATCGCAGGGCCCTGGGCACGTGCCCAGAGTGCCCAGTGGGAAAGACGGGCCTGACTCTACCTATGCGTCAAGCTTCCGAAAAGCGACTCAATCGCCGTGATTGACTTTTTAAGTGTGCGGTATGAAATGTTCGATTTGATTCAGATTCTAAAAAGCTGCTAAAGCGCTGAATCTGAAAGTAGCATTTGTGCTGTGGCTCTAATCGAAAAGTCTTGGTGCCTAATAAATACAGTGGATAGGGTGAATCCAATAAAGTAGCGGTTCAATTTTTCCGCGTGTTTAGACCCGTTGGCCCCTCGCCAGCGGGTCCCATTCACTCGGCTAATGGCCACCACTGAATTATGACACATCGCTTATTGCGATAACGGCTCGTTGATAAGTGAAAACGAAATTAATTGCGCGCGAACGTTATGGAACGCGTGCTGATTCAATCTGGATCTATTATGAGTTTCTTGCTATAATGTTATTGTTGTTTACCGCAGTTGACCACGTAAAATACGTATTTATTTGATCACTAACAAGGTTACATTATAGTTGTAGCATTCACAAAGACTTTACATCATTAAACGACACATTTATTAAGGCTGGGTTGCACCATCTTACTTTAACTTTAATAAACGTCAAAATTCTGTCAAACTCCATACAAAAAACATCGGTTATCGTTATAGTTACCGTTAAAGTTAGATTGTGCAACTCGGTCTAAGTGTAAACTTAATTAAAGGTGACAACTAAAATTATAGAGCAGTGTAGAACTTAACGAATATACATTTTTATCCAAGTGTAGGCTAAATTATCCAGCGAAAATACATATTTAAGTACCAAAGTTACATCCAACAATAAGTATTTATTTGTGCAGAGAAGATAAAAAAGAAAAACATTAATATCCGCCACAAAATGTGAAAGTGCAAAGGACAAACAAAAATGAATTTCTATTTGCGTTAAGTTATTGTATGGCGTCATCTGTTGGAACACAAAAAAGTAAAATCAGTAGGTTTCCCAAGACAAAGTCTTCTTTTAACATCGATGGCCAAAGTTAATATTTTGACTGTAACCTTTAATTTTCTTTGCCAGTCATCATTTCAGCCGTAGGCTACGAGATGACTATGAATTTCGAAACTCTAGGAACTGTGCCTAGTGCCTACTGAAATATTTGTGCTGTACTGTGCTCATCACCTGTCCCACATTATTGTCCCTAAGCAGCATCGGACGTGTTCAGAGATCCTTTTTAACACTGACTCACATTATTGTACCAAAGAGTTCTGTAATAAGTAACAAAGGTTTTTTTTAATTCGTACTGTACTTTAGTTTTAATTATATTTATCCTAGACAACTAAACTTGGTTTTTAATCGCCCTTTTCTATATAATAATGGTGCCAAAAATGATTGAAACGTCTAAATTCTGTTCAGCAGTAACATTATTTATAGCAGCATATAGCCCAGCTTCCTCAACAACCGCCAGACCTACTTCGTTGGCTTCAACTGTGATAGCTGTGGGCGTACCATTTTGCTTACATCCGTGCTCGCAACAAACATTATTCTTGGCTTTTCTAAATTTAGCATTAAAGCACAATTTTTGAATACCGAATTTTCCCAAGAGTGCCCAAAATATCTTTGGGGGGTATTATTTAAGCCTGTAAACAAACTCAATACGCTGTATGGTTAATGGACAAGAAACTACTAAATACTACTTAACAAGTATGTAACTTGAAAAGTCCAGTCCTCCTCTAATTTTAATTTTGTATTTTTGTAATTCTTAAAACCTTACGTGTGTTTTTATTTGAATGGTGGTTGTTGCTAAATCACATAACCCTTTCATTTCCATTATCAAAAAATATGAACCCAATTTATCAACTTTGTTAGAGGCTGGTTAGTTAAACCATGCGTGAGAAATCGCTGCCATAATATCTCTTTCTGTTATTATCATAACTATTAGAGATTCATTAATATGACAAGCTTTTAAATTAGAATTAACCGATATCCAGAGTTGACACAAAATAATAGGTAGAGATGGATTTTATTTATGGTCAAACGCGTGGGTTTCGTTCGGCCAATAAATCAAACTTTAACGGTTCTAAAAACCATGACAAACTAACCAAAACTTTCTAACTGCAAGATTAAGTTACACCGACATAAATAACACGTGGGGACACGTCATATAATTGTTTGCCAACATAAGGTTACCCCACATTCACGCTATAAACCGGTCCGTTTGAATCAATGAAAACACCATAGATTAACTCAAGGCGAATGTTATCTCTCCTTCTATCACTACCGGGTTGACTGGGACAGAAACGCAATAGGTAGTAGCAATACTCATTTGTTTGTCATTAGGGACAGGTACAAGGGCTGCCAGCTGACTTGCGTGACGTCCCGCGAGTTGGGACATGCATCCCTTCCTTCCTAATTTGCTGGGTAGAGACGACTCTAAGTCAACTGATTAGAGTCCAAAATGCGTGTTACCGCGAATGTAACGCATGTTGCAATTAATTTAAGTATTCATTATCAAATCGATGAGTCACTCCTCAAAGTGGATTTGTAGTGAGTCATGAGGTAAGTTTGTTAAGTCTTAAGAGAGAGTTGATAGAAACAATGAGTTCTGTGCATAATGACTAGCGTCCACAATGTTTTGTGTGTGGGCGAGGGACAAGAGGTTAATGACCTCGGTAAAATATCATTGTAGTCGACTTATGCAGCTATAGAAATAAATTGCAATGACTATAGTACCTCTAGGCAATCAAATACCAGCCGTTAGGGCGCTGTGTAGGATTTTAGTATTTAATAAAAATAAAAACGACCATTTAATGAGCCAACATTCGCTATTAAACCATATTAAGCTAGCTATGACTCTTTGATCTCATTTTAATATAGATTACATTTTTTGTTTCGCATTGTAATGTGTATTTACTTTTGCCATTGAATAGACCTTATTAAGTTTTGCAAAGAAACTCAAATATATTTACTTTTAAATAAAACCTGCAATAAACAAGTTAATAAGGCATCAACAGGGTATTGTGGTTGAGATTTAGAATCAAATAACAATGTTGTTTTTTCAATGATTACTTATTCTTGATGATTGACTCCTCAAGACCTCACATCTGTTACACCACACTATCACGTTAATCGTTTACATCATCTCTCATAAAGATATCAGCACACATAAAGTCAAAAAACTGACGGTAGTCCAAGTTTCTATTGACACGGCTAAATAATTTTCGGAGTAGGTCCACGCCCTTCAGTTAGCAAGTAAGCGAGCATACCGCACCCAAGCTCTACCGAATGCTTTAAATCAACATTGTGGACCCAGCTCACGATGATGGTCTGAATTTTAGAAGTCATAAGGTGTAGGCACAGTGTAACTGATACTTGTTCATGTACGAACAATAGCCCATCTGTTTTTATTTTGTCAAAACTGCACTCGGTTGTATTACATGAGATCCCAGAGTGTTTAGGTTGAGGTGCCGTTGTGTACTTTTTGTTTCATTAAGCAGAAGAAACATAAATAAAAAGAAAAAAGAAAAAGGGTGGCGATGAAAATTTTAATAGTTCCAACACTGATAAAATTAACAATAAAGGTATAAAATATTTAGAGATTGATTTAATGAACTTGGTAATAATTTGTGGTATGTATAAAAACACAAGTAACTACAACGCAGTCTCATTACCACCTATTTACCCTTAAGATACTAAATTTTAAACTTATTGTTGACTATTTTAACGTTAATTTTAATCAAGAATTAAACCTAAATTATGCGGTTTCATTTTATATTCCTTTTATTTCTCAGTTTTGTGTGGTGTAACAAAGAGTGTGTATCTCTATGTACCTACTTCGTACAAAAAGGGTTTTATTCGGCAAATTAATTACCCAGAAGCTACACATGCAAATGTTATGGCAGTTCCATGCAAATGGGTATTAGAAACGCTAATTATTGCTGCATCAGCGAGTACTGTTATTTGCGATAGAGAAAAACGCTGGCTTGGGAAACTTAGCTATAGCAAATAGAAAAACGACTGCTGGGTAAAATATGTACAGCTTTG